AGAAGTCCTGGTGCTAGCCGGAATATTTCCATTCCTCTTCTTCCCTTACAGCACAAGTCCTTCGGTAATAATTGCTTGTATTTGTAGAACCTTAGAGAATTTTTGTTGTAGCAGGACGGAAATTGGTGGTCTACCGTTTTGTGGCTTGGGTGGCATACTTCTTGTTTGGCAATAAAATAAGATGAGAAGAAAATGGGATACGTAATGGAGACCAATTCAAGAAAAACTGATTTATGCCAGCCCTAGCTGAGGCAGATAAATTTGGGAAGACTTACTTGTTTTCTAGAAATAGTCTTCACTTGACCAGAGATTCATGCTTGGTCATATTTAAACACAGAGGAGCTCTTCTCGGGCATTTGAGTAGGAAGACAGAAAATCAGAGACTAATTAACCAGCTGTTACCAGCAGGAGATCCATTTTTTGAGAGAGAGTCTTTCTCGCCAGGCTGGAGTGCAGTGGCACAATCTTCGGCTCACTGCAACCTCCGCCTCCCAGGTTCAAGCCATTCTCCTGCCTCAGCCTCCCGAGTAGCTGGGATTACAGGTGCACACCGCCACAGCTAGCTAATTTTTGTATTTTTGGTAGAGACGGGGTTTCATCATGTTGGCCAGGATGGTCTCCATCTCCTGACCTCGTGGTCGGTCTACCTCGGCCTCCCAAAGTGCTAGGATTACAGACTTGAGCCACCGCGCCTGGCCAAGAGATCAGTCTTGGGTAATCAGTCCAGTTATCCAGTGGGTCAGTAAGAGATGAGGCTTCCATCGAGAAAAATCAGAGCCTGTGCAGCTCTCCCGAGGGCAGATGCATAAAGCTGGGTGTGCCCCGTCAGCCTGCTGGGTCTCAAGAGGCAGGGGCCGTGTCTTTCAACTGCTATGAATCCCTGTTTAGAACTTTCAGTGAGTGTCAGATCAGCACATTCATCCAACATATCCATGTGTATAAGAACAATCCATCCCTCCTGACCTGATCCAGCACAGAATCAGAACCTCTGGAAGAGGACCAAAGAAGAGAAAAAGTGGAAGTGTCACATGCCCAAAGGAAAACAGATGCGACAGAGATGAATACAACAAAACAAAACAAAAGGAAGAAAGCCGAGCTAATCTGGGAGTTCCATCACGGCTAAGAACTCAGTGTTGTTTGGTCACGAGGTCTCTAGCCCGGCTGAGACCTGGGCTGCGGCACCTCAGGCATCTCCTTTCATCTCTCGGTTCTTCTTGCTCCCGGGCGCTTCTCCAGACTTTGGACCTGCGCTGGTCCATGGCAGAACACCTCTTTCCTGAATCCTCCCCAGGCATCTGCCCAAAGCAGGGGACTGGGGTGGCACTCTCTAGGATGCCAGCCTCCTCAAAAGAAGCCGGCAGCCCCTAGGCTGTACTTGGAGTTGTCTCCAGGGAGCCTGGGGAGGTAACCGGTCGGTCGGGCACTGATTCACTTGGGAGGGAGGGAGTGCGGATTGCAGATGCTATCTAGCTGGGCCAAGTCAACCTGGGGAAGGGCAGGTCTGTGTCTCAGCTGGTTTAGGGGTGGGGTCGGAACTTTTACACCTTGCATTCTTCTTAGGACGTCACGATGGTTTTCCCAAGGCTTCCTTATCTGAGGGTGTTTACCCATCCAGCCAGCATACGCCAGGTCAGGACTTCCGCTTTGTCCGGGTTCCATCCTCGCAGGCACAGGAAAGCGCATGGGAACAACAGGGTCTGACAAACCATAGCTCTCAGATAAGAGGCTCAGGTTATTGGGGCAGATGCCAGAAGTCATGGGATCTTCACGGGGTGGCCATAGGCTGAGCAATCTCCCTCGGGACGTGAAGGGGGGCATTTCTGCGTTGCTGGTCATTGAGAAATTCCCTAATCTTAGAAAAGGAATGGAGCTAAGGGCTTGAATCGGAGTCTATGTCGTTGACCTAATTATAAGGTAGTCCATCGTCTGTTTAATAAACAGTTCCACGATGTGGGATGGCAAGGTCATGCATAGGCCTGGTTATCAACAACGTTTTCCTAGGGTTCTGGAAAAAAAGTGGTATCAGTGTGTTCAGCTGCAGGCTTGTTCTGTCTAAGGCTCCAGGCCGGCATGAATCAGAAGTAGAGGGAAATGTTGAAGCGGCATTGCAAATATTAGTTTTAATAAACGGACTGGGAAGAGAGAGCACCTCTAGAGCCAGCTGTGGCCTAGCCAAGCCCCAGAAGAATGACATCACCCATTGTGCCTCGTGGGGCGCCCCTGAGGCCATCGTGGATTTGTAGTATGTGGGACAGTGCTGCTGACGGGGTGGTTTCTTGCGCTAGACTTACCCTGTCAGCAAGACACTGTTTACACGAGCTGAGTGCCAAGCGGCGCACAATATGCACATTGAACTTCTTTTAAGTTCAATGAAATCAACGTTTAGAAGAATTGTAGATAGAAAAAGCTAAACAGCATTATAGCAAACAGTGATTACCCAGAGATGCAAGTGCTTTGAACTTCAGCGTTGGAGAACCTTGTGAATTTGTAGAAGTTGACCAGGACAAGTATCCATCTCAAGCCCGTTGGTAAGGGAAGCTTGAGTTTAGGAGGCAACAGGTAGCCCAGGGCAGACCAAGGAGGAACCAGAGAGATAAGGTGTCAGAAAACATCTTCGAATACCCAGAGTTGTTATCCCCTCCACAAAACACTGGAGGGTGAATTGTTTGGGTCAAATAAGCAGGATCATAAAGTGTGAGGAAGAAACCTGTGGAACATTCTGGAAGAATTGGTCAGAGATGAATACCCCATCACAGCCTCTTTGATTTCAAAGGTGAAATAGTTGAACCCCAGACCTCACTGTCAGATGTAAAGAGTCACTCCAAATTTATAAGCTCATTAAACTAGCATTTCTGACCGTTTACACATTTGACTGTAGAGAAAATACACAGAATGCTGCCAGCCACACCTAAGCCTTCTCAAGCCACTTAGCTGACAGCTTTTTCTTCTAATTACTCAAGTGCGCGTCTCTATTATTTACAAAGTTTGGTGAAGTCAGGGCAGGGGGAGTTTGTGGTTTGATACCCTTTCCAGCACAGAGGGGTGAAATTCAGCCCGTGTTTTGAGATCAGTCTGAACCGTCAAACTCTCCGCTGAAGACCCCTCTCCCCAGATCAGGAATCTTTTTTATTTTCTCTGGGCATGGGCCAGAGTCAGGGCTTTGGAGTTCATCTGTATGCCCCACCTCTATTAGTGCTATTGTGTATACTTGTGGTTCTTGTTCTTCTTCACTGACCATGGGTGAACAGAGGCTGGTTCACCTAAAAGCTTCTACTCCCCATTCACTTTTGTTTTTGAGATGGAGTTTTTCTGTTGCCCAGGCTGGAGTGCAGTGGTGTGATCTTGGCTCACTGCAACCTCTGCCTCCTGAGTTCAAGCGATTCTGTCTCAGCCTCCTGAGTAGCTGGGATTACAGGCGCCGGCCACCATGCCAGAATAATTTTTTGTATTTTTAGCAGAGAGAGGATTTCGCCATATTGGTCAGGCTGGTCTTGAACACCTGACGTCAGGTGATCCACCCACCTTGGCCTCCCAAAGTGCTGGGATTACAGGTGTGAACCACTGTGCCCAGCCCCCATTCACTTTTGTTTTATGAAATGAGAAGGCTCTGGGCATGGTGGCCCACACATGTAATCCCAGCACTTTGGGAGGCTGAGGCGGGTGGATCATGAGGTCAAGAGATCAAGACCATTCTGGCCAACATAGTGAAACCCTGTCTCTACTAAAAATACAAAAATTAGCTGGGCATGGTGTGCGCCTGTAGTCCCAGCTACTCTGGAGGCTGAGGCAGGAGAATCCCTTGAGCCCGGGAGGCGGAGGTTGCAGTGAGCTGAGATCACGCCATTGCATTCCAGCCTGGGCAACAAGAGTGAAACTCCATCTCACAAAAAAGAAAAAAAAAAAGAGAAGGCTTCTGCGTTTTTTCTTTCCTTTCTTCCTTGGAGGTTGGTAAGATCCGTGAGGCAGTGGTGATAAAGTACTTTGAACTACCTCAAGGAGAGTGCGGCCCAACTTGTTATTGTTTACCTAGGTCAGTTCACAAACCCCCATGGTCTAGGGTTTCCACCTCCTGCCCTGAGGATGGTGGCTGGGAGGAGGAGAGGCCACAGCCCCAGTCCTGCAGGGCGCCGGTGGCCGGAGTTGGTCATTCCCGACTTTGACATCAACAGGCTTATCTCCAGAAATAGGCTAAATGGTAGTTCAGGTGCCTGTGTTGCCTCACCCTGCAAACTCCCAGGGAGACTGCCTACTTCCAGCCCCTGTTCTGGAAACTAATGATAGGTGGGATGAAAAGACTGTTTTCTCTGATGCGCTTTTACGAGATGTTTTCAAAGATGAGGTGGCAAGGACATGGTTCACCCGCTCCCTTGTGCAGGGAGATGTCAGAATGACAGGGCGCAGGGAATCTCCCCCACACCTCCCGGAGGAGCTCTTGTCCAGGATGGCCCAGCTGTTAGACACCCAGGAATCAAGTCAGCCCCAAGCCCTGTAACCCAGATATCATTGGGCTTTTTCAGCTGATGGTGCTGTGACCTGTGGCAGAGTGGAGTGTGGGTAGAGGACAGCTGTGGCTGGGGCAGGCAGCCCTTTCCACACCAACTTCTTGGGTAATGGCTCTTCCTAAGCCTGTGATATTTAGGGACTGTCAAACTTCTCTTTCATCCTGAGCCACTTTCCCTCATGGGTAGCAGAGGAATTGGATTTCTTTTCTTTCTTTCTTTTCTTTTTTCTTTTTTTGAGACAGAGTCTCACTCTCTTGCCCAGGCTGGAGGGCAGTGGCAGGATCTCAGCCCACTGCAACCTCCAACTTTTCAGTTCAAGCGATTCTCCTGTCTCAGCCTCCTCCAAAATAGCTGAGATTACAGGTGTGCACCACCACACCCAGCTGATTTTTGTATTTTTAGTAGAGATGGGGTTTCACCATATTGGCCATGCTGGTCTCAAACTCCTGATCTCAAGTGATCCATTCACCTCAGCCTCCCAAAATGCTGCGATTACAGGTGTAAGCCACCACACCTGACCAAGGAGTTGGATTTCTTATGAGAAGAATATTATGGCTGTGTGTCCCAGAGAAGGCACTGTGTCCCCATTAGGGTCATTCACCGAAAGGAGAGCCTTGAGGACAAAGGAATCTTCTACAAACAACGTTGGGAGGGAGGAGTGGAGTTTGCAGGTGACTCTAGAGGACCCCCAAAGTCCAATGGGATTCATCGCTTTGTTGTCTGAGTGAGGAAAGGTGACCGGACCTAGGCTGAGAGGGGCTGGGAAGCTGCAGCAGCGGCGCTGAAGCCTGAGACGAGGACATGTTCTATTATGCCAACTAATTATACCCACTGAAGGGCACGTCACATTTTCTGGGTGGCCAAAAATCCATTCTTAGAAGAAAAAAGTCTGTGAACTGCTGCACTGGCAATTGACAAAGACTTGGAAGCCAACACATTGAAGAGAGAGAGCCAGCCTCACACCTGGAATGGATCCCTCTGTGTTTCTGCCACAATTTGCCAGTTTGATGCCAATGGATGCTTGCTGTTTATGTGCGCATGTCTATGCTGTTCGGTTATCTTCTGAGTAATTTCGAGTTTTAAGAATATGTTGGTGAAGTCAACGATGAACGAGTCCAGAAGATGTGGTTCCCGGGGCCCCGCTTAAGAAGACGAGGACCCCTCCCAACCCTACCCCTGCCTGTCCACATGGCCCTTCCTCCCCACCATCCACCATGGGAGCCTCCTGTGCCACAACATGGCTGTCATCCTTCTGCGTGGACACGTGCCCTGCCTCCTGGAGAGAGAGGCTCCTGCCCTGGCGGGTATGTGTGTGAGTGTGCATGTGGGTGTGTGTGCATGTGTGAGTGTGGGTGTGTGCATGTTTGAGTGTGCTTGTGTGCGTGTGTGTGGATGTGCATGTGTGAGTGTGGGTGTATGCGTGTGTGAGTATGTGGGTGTGTGTGCATGTTGGGTGTGCGCGTGTGCATGTGCATGTGTGAGCATGCATGTGTATGAGTGTGCATGTGTGCGTGCATGTGGGTGCATGTTTGTGCGCATGTGTGCGTGTGTGCATGTGCATGCATGTGTGTGTGCATGTGTGTGTGCGTGTGTGTGTGTGTGTGTGTGTGTGTGGCGGGGAGGAGGAAGGAGAGCCTTCTCTTCTGTGGTGATCACCACCAGTCAATCGGCTTTAAGCTGAGCCAAGATGAAGCAAGAGTGACACCAAGTGCCAAGAGCAAGTGCCTGCTGTGGTATCAGGTGTTCACTCTCCTCAAATCAGAGGAGCAGAGAGAGGCTCAGTTCCAGTCTGCGGTGGTGGTCACCTCTGTGAGAGGATGCCAACCGCTCCAGAGGTGGCTCCGTGCCGCCGTGCCATTCTGCCCATTTGGACCTCTGGGCTCTCTGGGAATTGGATGCAGAACTGAGGCTTTGAATAGATTTTAAAAACAAAATCCAAGGTGGGATGTTTTGCTGGCTAGAATATGACGCACAGACCCAGGTTGCCATTCTGTCCCTGTTGCTGCCCTTCAGCCCCATTTGTAGAATGACCACACCCCGAGGCCGCAGGAGGACAAAGTGGAAGACTGGCTCAATTCTCTGTGTTTGCACTAGACCCTGCTGCTGGGTCTGGACCCCTGCTGCCAGAAGTCTGCCCTACGAAGCCATAGGTAGGAACTAAAATGCATATTGCTGTGGGGTGGCCCGAGAGAGACTGGGCATGGCTTCCACCAGGACACTGTGGGGGCAGAGGATTCCGTGGCTGCCAGAGAGGACCACCCGATGCAGGCTGCTCCTGCAGCTGCGTCTCTGGGGGAGGAGCGTGGCCGCCTTGGTGTTGCCATCTGGCCAGTCCTTGTTCTTACACTTCCACTCCCAGCTTTGTCCTCAGCTTATACCCACTTGTTTATCTCCTTCATGGAAGCTAAGGAGGGGACTAGGTTTGTTTATCCAGATGCCACCCGTCAATGACTGTTGCGGGCACAGGAGTGTCTCTGGGGCACAGTGCCAGGCCAGGTCCCACCTCACATCTCTATTCCTCATCTGGGAGTGCTGGCATCAGCAGGTTGATTCAAAACTGGGAGGTGTTGGGAAACCCCTTGGGCTGGAGATTTCGAAATGAAATTCAGATTAGAAAAAACATAGTGGGTGGGGTTCCGAGACAGGAAGGAGACAGAAAAACTCCTGCCCTGACGCTCCGCTTGATAGCGGGGATCAACAGAACAGCCTGGGATGGACGGGGGCAGCTGTGCTGGCTGAACCCAAGTGCCAGGCCAGTCCTAGATGGCCTCTCCCACCTCTGGACACAGAGGCACCCCCTGCCTCTCTATTCACCAGGCGAAACCACACTTGGAGCGGCACTTTCGGTCTAGGGCATGTCCACACCAGCAGCTGCGGAGGGAGGGCAGGGGAGGAGGGCTGCCAGGAGTATGGGGAGAAAAGCTGTTTGAAAGATTGTAAAAGGCTTTCGGGAGAATTCAGAGAGGGGATGAGTGATGAGGGAGGGCCACGAAGCTCAGGAGCCACAGCCTGGGTGGCCCGGGTGGCAAGGACAGCCCCCATCCTGCTGGCCAGTGACTGCCTTGCCATCTGCGCCTCCTCGTCACACGGTTCTCCCTGTGTGTTAGCTCAGGACAGCCTGGCATCAGTGGCTCCTGGTGGCAGGTACCTGTGACATGAAAAGCACAGAGGAAGATGCTAGATCCAGAGGCAGAGAGAGGAGGACATGAAGAGAAGGTGAGGGAAACTGAGGAACAAGGAGAGCAAGAGCAATTAAAATGAGCCCTTGAAAGAAAAGGAGGTAAAACAGAAAATGTGGTGAGAGGTATCTTGGAGCAGAAAAGGAAGAAAAAGAGGGCAAACATTGTCTTTCTTTTTTTTTCTTTTAGAGACTGGGTTTCACCGTGCTGGTCAGGCTGGTCTCAAACTCCGAACCACAGGTGATCTGCCCACCTCGGCCTCCCAAAGTGCTGGGATTACAGGTGTGAGCCACTGTGCCCGGCCCTAACATTGCCTTTCATTTGAAGGCTTGGAGTGGGACAGTCAAGAATGAGCCTCCAAACAGTCAGTACTCAACTTGTCATTGGATTTGTAAACCTATTTCGTCTGGGTGGACTGAAGAGCGTGGTACCCTCTGAGGATATCTGGGGCCACACCGCGGTGGAGTCAAGAGTGGCACTGCGACAACCTAGCTAATCAGTTATGAACATGAGGGGCTCATGATTCACGAGCCTGCCCATCTGTCTTGTGCAGGGTGGGGACCCATCTAACTGGAACCGCCACCCAGCGTCTCCCAGGCTCCTTAGATGACAAGCTGTGGCATCCTTGTCCACCCAACTCAGTCCCCAAGCATTTTGCCAAAACATCAGTAAACAGGTGTAGGTGAAGGAAGTCACGGGTGTCTGCATTTTGTGCCGTTTTCTCTCCTTCCCGGTGCTCAGCACACCGCACACCAGGGGTTCTCATCAGGGGCCGCACGTTCACTCCTCAAGGGCAGAGGCCGCCAGACACCTTCCTCTTAACTCAGAATAAGTTTATTTTTATTTTTATTTCTAATTTTAAAAAATTGTTTTTTCCTGGGACAGAGTGTCATTCTGTTCACACAGGCTGGAATGCAGTGGTGTCATCACAGCTCAGTCTAGCCTCAAACTCTGGGCTCCGACGATCCTCCCACCTCAGTCTCCCAAGCAGCTGGGACTACAGGCACCCGCCACTGCATCTGGCTAATTTTTAATTTTTTTGCAGAAACAGAATCTCACAATGTTGGTCTCAAACTCCTGAGCTCATGTGATCCTCCTGCCTCAGCCTCCCGAGCTGCTGGAATTACAGGCATGAGCCACCGCGCCCAGCTAGTTTATTTTTATATTCTAGATTACTGTGGACTGGAAAATCCAAGAGTTTGCCTGAACACTATGGGAAGATTGTCTCTCACTGGCGGGGAGCTCAGCGTTCAGCAGTCAGGGTGAATTCAGCCGCGGCAGCTGCTGCTCTTCTGGCCAAAGCTAAACCAGACATGGATGTTACTGTTCGCTGGGTCCAGCATTTGTTAGCGCTCTCTGCCTCACAGAGCAGCTCATTACCTAATCTCCACCGTCATCCTACATTGCTGTTACTTCCACTTTATAGACAGTGAGTCTCAGAAAGCTCAGGCAGCCTCCTCAAAGCGCCGAAGGATTTGAACTCAGTGTCTGGGGACTCCACTTCTTTGTGCTTTCTACACAGTGTGGCTGAACCCCCTTTAGATTTCATGGTAACATCCAAGTCAGAATTCCCGGATCTGGAGCAGTTTACCCCCTCGGCCTTCCTCCCACCCATTTCCATCCCAGCCCATTTCTGTAACCATCAAATGGGCAAGAATGTTTGTTTTGTTTTGTTTTTCTGAGACATGGTCTCGCTCCGTTGCCCAGGCTGGAGGGAGGGCGGTGGCACAATGTTGACTCACTGCAACCTCTGCCTCCCAGGTTCAAGTGATTCTCTTGCCTCAGCCTCCCAAGTAGCTGGGATTACAGGCACCCGCCACCAGGCCCTGCTAATTTTTTTGTATTTTTAAAGAGATGGGGTTTCACCAGGCTTGACTCAAACTCCTCACAAGTGATCCGCCTGCCTCAGCGTCCCAAAATGTTGGGATTGCAGGTGTGAGCCACCACTATGTCTGGCCTAAATTAGCGGAAATTTTCACTTTTCAAAGAAGAACATCCTTGTACAGCGAATTATTCCAACATTGCATTTCTGAAGAACTCTTTCAAATCACTAAGATTTCTTTTCATTACAAAAGCAATATGGGAATATTGAAGAAAACAGTGCAAAATATAGAAAAAACAAAGAAAATAAAGATCATAATTTCACCATTGAGCAAGAATTTAAGATCGTAAACACTGTAGTGTTTACCCTTCCATGACTTTAACTGCAGACATGTGGACTGACTTATGTTCATAAAAATGACAAACTTGCCTACCCCATAACGCTGTTTTGGAACCTGCTTTTATTTAGTTAGTTTTTTGAGACAGAGTCTCACTCTGTCACCCAGGCTTCTTTCCTTCTTTCCTTCCTTCCTTCCTTCCTTCCTTCCTTCCTTCCTTCCTTCCTTCCTTCCTTCCTTCCTTCTTTCTTTCTCTCTTTTTCTCTCTCTTTCTCTCTCTCTCTCTCTCTCTCTTTCTTTCTGAGATGGAGTCTTGCTCTGCTGTCCAGGGTAGAGTGCAATGGCACGATCTTGGCTTACTGCAACCCCTGGGTTCAAGCAATTTTCCCGCCTCTGCCTCCAGAATAGCTGGGATTACCCATGCCCACCACTGCACCCAGCTAATTTTTGTATTTTTAGTAGAAATGGAGTTTCACCATCTTGGCCAGGCTGATCTCATGATTGGCCTCCCAAAGTTCTGGGATTACAGTCATGAGTCCCTACGCCTAGTTTGGAACCTGCTTTTAAACAATATATTGTAAGCATTTTTTAAATTCATTAAAAAAATTTTTTTTAGAGATGGAGTTTCACCATGTTGGCCAGGATGGTCTTGATCTCCGGACCTCGTGATCCACCCGCCTTGGCCTCCCAACGTGCTGAGATTACAGGCATGAGCCACCATGCCCAGCTATGGTAAGCATTTTTCCTACAGACACGTGGGCTGACTTAAGTTTATAAAAACAGCAAGTGTGCCTACCCCATAATACTGTTTTGGAACCTGCTTTTAAACTTAATATATTGTAAGCATTTTCCTGAAATATTTTTATGCCATCATATTTAATAAATACACATATTTCATTAGAATATATATTTTTTGAGACAAGGTCTCTGTTGCTCAGGAGAGGGTGCAGTGGTGTGATCTCAGCTCACTGCAATCTCTGTCTCCTGGGTTCAAGCTATTCTTGTGCCTCAGTTTCCCAAGTAGCTGGGACTAGAGGAGTACAGCACCATGCCCAGCTAATTTTTGTTTTGTTTTGTTTTGTATTTTTGGTAGAGACATGGTTTCACCATGTTGGCCAGGCTGTTTCTTGAACTCCTGACCTCAAGTGATCTACCTGCCTTGGTCTCCCAGAGTGCTGGGATTACATGCAGCTTATTTGATTATAATTTTTTTTCTTTTTCTGTTTTTTTGAGACAGAGTCTCATTCTGTCACCAGGCTGGAGTGCAGTGGTGCAATCTCAGCTCACTGTAATCTCCTTCTCCCGGGTTCAAGCAATTCTCCTGCTTCAGCTTCCTGAGTAGCTGGGACTACAGGCATGTGCCACCACACCCGGCTAATTTTTTTGTATTTTAGTGGAGACGGGGGTTTCACCATGTTGGCCAGGATGGTCTCGATCTCCTGACCTCATGATCCGTCCGCCTCGGCCTCCCAAAGTGCTGGGATTATAAGCATGAGCCATCGCTCCCAGCCCTCATTATAATTTTTAATGTACTCAGGATAAATATTTAGTTTGTTTCGACTTTTTCAATATTGTAACTAGTTTTATTATGACTTTTTTTTTTTTTTTTTTTTTTAAGCAGTGGGGATCTCACCAAGTTGGCCAGGTTGGTCTTGAACTCCTGGCCTCAAGCAAAACTGCCCCCTTCAGCCTCCCAAAGTGCTAGGATTACAAGCGTGAGCCACTGCACCAGGCCTTGATAGACTTGTTTATGGGTAAAAAAATATCTAGTTTTCATTTTTCCTTGGATTATGAATGAAGTTGAATTTTTGATATAATTATTATTTGAAGCTCTTTTATGAAGTTAATCCATTCTGTTTGCATTTCCCATGGTGCACATTTTATTTTTATTTTTTCCTTCCTTCCTCTTTCTTTTTTCCTTCCTTTCTTTCTCTCTCTCTTTCTTTCTTTCTTTCTCTTTCCTTCTTTCCTTCCTTCTTTCTTGACGGAGTCTTGCTCTGCTGTCCAGGGTGGAGTGCAGTGGTGTGATCTTGGCTCACTGCAACATGCACCTCTCAGGTTCAAGCAATTCTCATGCCTCAGCCTCAAGAGTAGCTGGCATTAGAGGTGTGCACCACCATGCCTGGCTAATTTTTTCTGTGTATTTTTAGTAGAGACAGGGTTTTGCCATGTTGGCCAGGCTGGTCTCCAACTCCTGGCCTCAAGGGATCTGCCCGTCTCAGCCTCCCAAAGTGCTGGGATTACAGGAATGAGCCACCGCTCCTGGCCTCATTTTATTTGTCTTACAGAGATGTAGGAACTCTTTATATTAAGGCTGAAATTTCAAACCCCAAACAAATCAAACTTCTTAGAGGGCTCCTGGCCTCCTTAGGAAATGCTTCCTCCCAACCTGGGCACCTAACTCAGCCAGGGCAGCTCTCAGCCCCTCTGCCCTGACTCCAGCACCCACCACCTCCCTTATAGGGCTGCAGCCTGAGGGCTGTGGTCGCCCCACAGAGGTTCCTACATAAAGCTTCAGAGAACCCTGGCAGGAACACCACTTAGAGCTCCCAGGAGGGCAGTGGAGGGAGCAAACGCCTAGGGGGCCTCTGAGTCAGAGGAGAGCATGCTGATTGGGGTCAGCAAGGAGGCAGCAGTCTGGCCGGCACACGGGGAGCCCCAGTCCACCAGGGCCCTAGCTCTAGCAAGGCCCGAGTGCTGGTGAGAGCGTCCTTGCCCTGTTATTACCACTGGTGGCTTCTTATTTGTGCCGCTGGTAACAGGGATGCAAGTCCTTCCAGCCCTCCTGGTCTCCTCCGTCAGTCCGCTGTGCGTGGGGAGGGAGGCGCCCAGGCCTGTTACCTGCCTGGAGTCCTCAAGGGGGAGAGGTGGAGGGAACCGGCTGGACTGGCCCCACCAAGGCCGAGGCGGTAAGGACAGGATGAGTTTCTTACCCACCAAGATCATTACTTTGGAAAATGGAAACTGTAGGAGGAGGTCAGGGCATGTCGGGGGTGGATGTCGGGAGTTCCTTCCAGAGATCCTGTGGGTTTGGAATGTCCTTGCTCCCTCCTGATCCCCCAGCATCTTCCTTTCCTGCCTTTCTGTCCCGCCCTTCCTCCAGGTTTGGGACATTTCAGAGACAGCTGTGGCTGTGACATTAGCAAGAGCAAACACACCTGGCAGTGGTGTGGCCCCTGGCACCTGTGGTCCCCTCTGGATCTTGGGCTTGGTTCGCTGCAGCTGGGCTTTGGGGCGTCCCCACCATCTTTCCTTCTACCTTCACACGTTATTGGGAAGACAGTGTCACGCTTCAGAGAGAGCCCAGGCTTGGAGTGGGACGCTGTGCTCTGCAGGGAACGTGGGCTGACCTTGGCTGTTTCTTAAACTCTTTAGGTTTGACCGTCCTTGTCTATACAGTGACAGTAACAGTGCCAGCCTCTAGGGGTTGCTGGGAGAGTAAATGAGATGCCATGTGCAATATGCCAGACAGATGGCAGGTAGGTGTCCACCTGTATATTTCTTCCTCCTTTGTCTTTTCTCAACTCTTCTGACATGGGGTGATATTCGGGAGCTTAAGCGATTTCTGCTGGAGGGTGGAGTCAGTGGTGGCGGAGTCTCTGCCCCCTGGGGCAGCCAGGCCCCCCTAGTCTTCTCTTCTCACCCTCCTCTTCCACTGCCTGGACTGGGCCATGTTTGTTTTCCCCACTTGAAGGTGACCTTCTGGATAGAGCTCATCTTAGGCATCTTTGCATCCTCAAAACCTGGCACAGAGCGGGCGTAGAGACTGAATGTCCAGAGATGGAATGAAAAACTGAATGGGAAGGATCTCTCGTGTCATAAGCACTGAGGACTCGAGTGACAAGAACCCCAACTCTAGAGTCTAGCAGGCATCAGGCCAGAGCCCGGCTTCACCACTTACTCACCGCATGACCTTGAGCAAGATGGTTAATCTCCCTGAGCCTCAGTTTTTTTGTCTAAAAATAACAACAATAATAGCTACCTCTTAAGGTTGTTCTGGGGACTAGAGGTGATGTCAGAGGCTTCAGCCTGATGCGTAGTAGGAGCTCAGGCAGCCCAAGCCGTGATTAGCTGTGATTATAGGACTGTTCACCTCTGCCCTTAAAGCCAAATCTTGCCTCAAGCACTCTTGGGACAGAGTCTCCCTCTGCCACCCAGGCTGGAGTGCAGTGGCGCGATCTCGGCTCACTGCAACCTCCATCTCCTGGGTTCAAGCAATTCTCTGCCTCAGCCTCCCGAGTAGCTGGGATTACAGGCACGTGCTACCACACCCGGCTAATTTTTGTGTTTTTAGTAGAGATGGGGTTTCACCATGCTGGCTCGGTTGGTCTCGAACGCCTGACCTCAGGTGATCCTCCCACCTCCACCTCCAAAAGTGCTGGGATTACAGGCGTGAGTCACCACGCCCGGCCTCTGAACACGTTTTATATGACCTGTTTTGTTGGTGTTTTATTTTGTTTTAAAAGATTGATCAAAGTAGGATTATATGGAACCATTTCTTAGAGAGACAGGAAGTGAGGAACGGAGGAAATCAGGCACTGACACCCAGCTGCTACAATCAGGAAACAGAACCTGACCTCACTCACAAGGGAGCATCCTTGCCCGAGACCCTGATCCCCACACCTGATTCTACTTTCCCCAGCGTGGGCCCCTCAGGGATGAGGTGCCTGAGCCCCCACGTGCAGCCCGCCTACCACCCACACCACTCCCACGCCATCTCTGCAGGGGAGAACTGGAGTGGGGGAGGAGGGCAGTGAACTGGTTGTAGAGAAAGAAAGAGCCAGCCCTGGAGCTGGGGGTGGGGGGCAGGAGAGCAGGAGCCAAGCAGACTCCAGAGCTGGGGGCGGGAGCTGGCCTGAGGGGCTAAGAAAGAGAGAGTGACTTGGGCTGTGAAGAGGGTGGGACATCCTGGGTCGGTGGCTGCCATCACCCAAGGGAGTGGACCCAGGGGACAGTGAGAGGGTCAGAGGCAGCCCCTGCCCACTGCGAGTCCAGGTTCAGTGCAGGGAGCGACCTTGCCTCAGGTCTTGCTGTCTGCCCGGCTGTCTTTTCCATCCCTCAGCTCACCAGCATTTTCTCCCTGGCTCTGCCATCTGGGATCTGAGCCTGAAGTCATAGCCAGTGCACTTTGGCCGTAGAGGATTCTGTGGCTGTGTCCCACAAGCAGCACCAGAATTGTGTCCCTCTAGTGAGTCCCAGCAAACGACCTCCAGCCAGGCCAGCAGCCCTCCAGCCCTTCCCAGCAGCTGGGGCTTGGGGCGCTTGGAAGAGTCTCCCGCTGCCTGCACTGCTCTCTTCGCCTCCCAGCCCACATTCTCCAGGACCTCCAGGAGCAGGCCTGGCCCTTGGCCCCTCCTCCAGGGCAATCCCCCAGCCTTTAGCCTCCTCACCTCTGCCAGTTCGCCAGCAAGTGTCTTCAAGAGTTTTTATGGAGCCAAGCTTGGTGGCTCACGCCTGTAATCCTAGCATTTTGGGAGGCCAAGGCAGGTGGATCACAAGGTCAGGATCCACCTGGCCAACATGGTGAAACACCATCTCTACTAAAAATACAAAAATTAGCCGGGCATAGTGACAGGGGCCTGTAAGCCCAGCTATTCAGGAGGCTGAGGCAGGAGAATCACTTGAACCCAGGAAGCAGAGGTTGCAGTGAGCTGAAATCGCACCACTGCACTCCAGCCTGGGCGAACAGAGCAAGACTGTCTAAAAAAAAAATAGTTTTTATGGAGTCTTTGGAGCAGAGAGGAACTTTTGAGTTTCGGAACCCACCTCATTTTATAGACGAGGAAATAGGTGATCACTCTCCCGGGGTCACGCAGACAGTGACAGAGGGCGAGGCTCAGACCAGGCCCCTGATTTGAGGCCCTGCTCTTCCCCAGCTCCACTGACGGGTGCCTGGCCAAGCAGAGGGCATCAGCCTTGGCTGTTGATGCTGTGCTTCTGATATGTCCCCAAATCACATGAGTTCTTTTTTTTTTCTGGGAGATAGGGTCTCACTTTGTCACCCAGGCTGGAGTGCAGTGGTGAGATCACAGCTTACGGTAGCCTTGACCTCCCAAGGCTCATGCACTTTTCCCACCTCAGCCTGGGGAGTAGCTGGGACTAGGCACATGCTACCATGCCCAGCTAATTCTTTTTTTTTTTTAGACAGAGTCTTGCTCTGTCACCCTGGCTGGAGTGGAGTGGCTCAATCCAGCCTGGCCCAGGGTCTGCTCAGTATCTGCTCACACCATGGATGGAGAAAGCAGGAGGTGCCTTAGAGTTGCTTTGGGAGACTGATCTCTCTGGGGCCCTGGTCCCTGGGTCCCAAGTGTGGCCGTCCCTCAGTGCATGGACATAGGTGTGGCTGTCCGTAGGTGCCTAGATACAAGTGTGTCTGTCACTAGGTGCATGGACACAGGTGTGGCTGTCCCTAGGTGCCTGGATACAAATGTGGCCATCCCTTGGTTCATGGACACAGGTGTGGCTGTCCCTAGGTGCATGGACACAGATTTGGCTGTCCCTAGGTACCTGGATACAAGTGTGGCCATCCCTCAGTGCATGGACACAGGTGTGGCTGTCCCTAGGTACCTGGATACAAGTGTGGCCATCCCTCAGTGCATGGACACAGGTGTGGCTGTCCCTAGGTGCCTAAATACAAGTGTGGCCGTCCCTCAGTGCATGGACACAGGTGTGGCTGTCCCTAAGTACCTGGATACAAGTGTGGACATCCCTTGATGCATGGACACAGGTGTGGCTGTCCCTAGGTGCCTAGATACAAGTGTGGCTGTCACTAAGTGCATGGACACAGGTGTGGCTGTCACTAGGTGCATGGACACAGGTTTGGCTGTCCCTAGGTACCTGGATACAAGTGTGGCCATCCCTCAGTGCATGGACACAGGTGTGGCTGTCCCTAGGTGCCTAAATGCAAGTGTGGCCGTCCCTCAGTGCATGGACACAGGTGTGGCTGTCCCTAGGTACCTGGATACAAGTGTGGCCATCCCTCGATGCATGGACACAGGTGTGGCTGTCCCTAGGTGCCTAGATACAAGTGTGGCTGTCACTAAGTGCATGGACACAGGTGTGGCTGTCCCTAGGTGCATGGACACAGGTTTGGCTGTCCCTAGGTACCTGGATACAAGTGTGGCCATCCCTCAGTGCATGGACACAGGTGTGGCTGTCCCTAGGTGCCTAAATACAAGTGTGGCCGTCCCTCAGTGCATGGACACAGGTGTGGCTGTCCCTAGGTACCTGGATACAAGTGTGGCCATCCCTCAGTGCATGGACACAGGTGTGGCTGTCCCTAGGTGCCTAGATACAAGTGTGGCCTTCACTAGGTGCATGGATACAGAGTGTGGCTGTCCCTGCATGTCTGACCAGAAGTGACGTGAGCTTTGTGTCCTCTTTTTGGGCTATGGCTCCTCCTGTGGTCTAACCCTGGCAGGGTCCTGGGAGGCCAAGACTGGATCCCGTGTGACTGCATAGAGCCTGGCGGTCTCGGCTTGGTAGAGGCCACCAGTCAGAATGCAGGGTGGTGTGAGGCAGATGGACAGAGCCCAGTGGGGCCAGGCTGCCGCCAGCAACAGCAGAGCATGCTGAACCCGGGCTCGGCGGGCACTGACTGTCCGAGGCCCTTGGCAGGCCACTTAAGCTATCCAGGCCAGGCTCTGGTCTTGACCAGGGCCCCCTGGTGACCACAAGAAGGAAGAGTTTGGATAAGAATGTGTCAGTCGTTTCAATGACTTTGTGTGGGGGAAAAAGGGGCCCATAAGACAGAAACATCAGAAACAGAAGACATTAGTTCTCAAATTTTAATAGCTGAGGGGAAGGTTATAAAATAAAACAGACAACACAGAGCCTCATGACGGCCTCAGACTGGCAGTCAACCCAGGGATACAGAAATGTAAACAGAAACGGAGCTTGCAGATAACATTACTGTGTGCCGTGTAACTCAGAAGACGGCAGCTCCCCAGACACGCTGAAGGCAAGTGAAACAAGAGTTTTCAGCATCAATCTATACACATTTCAGACGGCAGTCCAGGAAGGCTCCTTCCTCTTAGGTCAACTGGGCCTGAGCCTGAGCGGGGAGGTGCAGATGCTGACCATTTTGGCGGGGGAGGCCGAAGTGGTTCTGCTTCGGGTGGGGTTTGGCTTCAAGGGGCTGCTCGGCTGGCTGTGTTCTGGGGACCTCTTTGCATTTGCCTCTGGCAGGCTCTGACCCCTGCCTGTCTCCCTTTGGTCCACACACCCCTTTACACCCACAACCCCTTTCCCAGCTGCATTGAGGGAGCCAGCCAGCCAGGACGACTCTCTCTGAGGCACTCGAAACCCCAGCCTGGCCAGATGAAAAAGTCAGAAAAAAGGCAACAGATAAAATTTGGTAGCCATCCAATCCTCTCCTCCCTCCGGAAGTTTCTGAGGTGCTGGTCATCATTCTGTTTCATTTTTGGCCACTGTGCTAGGGCTTTTGACTCAACCAAGAGCTTCGGGTAGTGGATGGGCATCGTCGTTTGTCCCCTCTGCCTTCCCTCTAAAGCCCCAGAGGGACACACCCTCAGCCTCAGGCTAGCTCCCAGGGCACTGGGGCTTGCCTTGACAGGATGTGCAGGGCAGAGCCGGGAGGGAAGAGCAGAAGATGCCATGTGCTGTCTGTAGGAGCAGCCGTCCAGGGCAAGGCTGGAGGAAGGTCTTCCAGTGACTGTCTCAGGACGTATAAAGAATGGGGGTGGGTTGGGGCAGCCACCCCCACCCAGAGCCAAGGCACAAAGGAGGTTTGAAATGTCCAGGATAAATAGAAGCGCATGGGAATGGAGAAAAGCCAGCTCCATCCCACTCTTAAAAACATTGCCATTGGCACCAAAAATATATTAACATCTGTACATTTGTCATCTTAAAAAAAAAGGAAATAAACCTTCTTGGCACCTTGCAGTTTATTTCTTAGAAATGAGGTGATATGTGGAAAGGCAGTGCACACACACACACGGCTGGGCACACATGTGTGCCTCTCCTTGCCGGAAGGACAGTGCCCTCCAGAACCCTGAGCATTAGAAGCCCTGCCAGGTGTGGGGCCGCGGCCAGCCCCCACTGCAGGTGTTTGCAGAGGTGCCCTTTGCCAGTGCTTTTGGCTCTGCTATCCACCGGGGGCCTGCAGCCGCTGCCCTCTGCGGAGAGGCAGAGCAGTGGGAGCCCAGCTCACACCTCCTTTGGGCGGGAAGTCCTGCCACCAGGCACACAGTGCCTGTCGCTGTGGGTGGCTGCTTCTAATCGAAGCCAGCCTTGGCCTCATCCTGTCTCTAGACATACGCGCATCTTCCCAGGCTCAGAGCAGCCTTGGCCCATAAGTCAAAAATGCAAAAATGAACAGAGATCATTGCTGGGCCTGAGTGAGCACATGTGCCCAGGGGTGAGACCAAGGTATGGGGGGCTCCAGTCCTGATCACTGGTGTTTGGGCAAGAGGCCACAGGAGGGTGGGCTGGCCAGGCAACTGGGAGGCGACCCTGGACCCTCTCGGGGCCTCTGGGAGCACCCCGGGAGTTCAGGCCACTCACAGGTGGGGGCTGCCCTGCAGCAGGGAAGTGACAGTGTTCTGCAGGGCCACAGCCACCTTCTTGGAGGTCTTGCGCAGCAGCGGGCTATCAGGGTGGTGCTCCTTCAGGTGCAGGACGTGGCCCTCCTGGCTCTCAGACGTGCAGCCACACTCCTCACACACGTACAGCTTGGCCCGCCGCTCTTTGTACGCATACTTCTGCTGCACACCATGGATCTTCTTGAGGTGCGACTCCAGAGAGCAGCGCTGTGTGAAGGCCTTGTCACACAGGCTGCACTTGTAGGGCCGCACGCCTGTGGGGAGGACAGGGGCCATCATCAGAGACCTGGCAGGGACTTTGGAGTCTGTTGGCTGCTTCTAGACAGAAAGGACAGGCCCCCTGCCTCTAGGGCCAAGGGAGGGACGGAGGCCTTCCTGAGTGACTCTCAAATCAGACTTCTAACCGATGAGCCCAGGAGCACTTCAGACCTGAGCTCCCAGGCTGCCCGTCACCAAGGGAGAGCAGGGGTTCCAGCATGCTCCTCCCAGCCATGGCTTCCGCTTACCAGTGTGAGTTCTGACATGTCTCTTGAGGTCGAAGGTGTCGTTGAAGCCCTTCCCGCAGTACGTGCAGAGGTGTCTCTTGACGTCGTTATGACACTTCATGTGGCGGTTCAGCATGCGCTGGTAGGTGAACGCCTTCTGGCAGATGTGGCAGGTGAACAGGTCTCCACTGGGACTGTCCCCAAGGGTCACCTGTGGGTGAGGATGGCATTGCTGACGGACATCCAGAAGTTGGGGCCACCGGCCGGCAGATTGGGAAGACGCAGCCACCAGCCCTCAGCGTCCCTGAAGAGGGTGGCACCCACCTCCCAGAGGCCACAGCTCTGTGCTGTCTGCCCAGAAATCAGCAGTGTGGGGCTGGAAGGAAGCTCTGGGCCACTGGCCCAGCCTCCAGTTGGGGTCTGAAGTCCCCTTTCAAGGTTGTCACCAAGGCTCCTGCACCGTCCCTAGAGACGCAACTTCACTCCCTAAAGACCGTTTAATTGTCATGCAACTCTACCTGTTAGAAAGTTCTTCCTTAGCTGAGGCCTTATCTGCCCCTCTGTAGCTTCTGCCCATTCATTCTTGTTTGCCCCCTTTGCACAGGGAAAAATGCCCAGGCCACGGCCTCTGTGGCAGGGTCCCCAGACTGAGCAGCTCTGTGAGCCTGGAGTCCGCTCACTGCCAGCCCAGCTGCCTGGTTTTACTCGAGCCAGGCCTTTACCACCCTGAGGACCCATCTGCCTATAAACCCTATTGATTTCTTTTTAATTGCAGACAACCCCACATTTATACAAACGTGGAGAGACAAAAGCCATGAGCCCTGTGTCCCGTCACGTGGGGCCAGCCTTGTTTCACCTCTGCCTTCCTACTGCCCCCATGCCTTGGATTATTTGAAGGAATCCCGAGATGCTGCCGGCTACCTTGGAAAGAGCTGCTTGAGAGGAACTGCACCAGCCTGACAGTGGCAGCCAGCACAGGGTGGCATGGTTTCCAGGCTGCCCCTCTGCTGGCATTCCAGATTCTGCTTGTGTTGTGTGGGTGGCTACGTCACTGGAGACTCCTCCTGAGGTCCCAGGCACTCACTCCTCTGGCTCATCTGCTGTTCGATCCCCTCTATTCTCTCTCCATGCCCTCCCTACCCACAGGGTCCAAGGAGTGAGGAAGGGCCCAAGGGTACCATGAGCCTCAGGAGAGCTCCGGCTGGCTCCCGCCAACCACCCAGCATAGGTCTTGGCTATTCCCCTCGTTACAACACATGCCTGGCCTCCAAGGATGGGAGAGGCAGGCCTGCCCTGCTGCCAGTTCTCCCCAGTCTTTTGGCACAAGGACACTGTGAAGAGGACTATTCTGCTAGGTGAGGGTCATCTTCTAGTAGGAGGCTGATCCAGATCCTGGAGCTTCCAGGAATGCAGACCCAGACGGGACGGCCGTGCTGCCTATGCTCTCCCTGGAAGCAGGGCATCCCTGCTGCCTGGCGCACTCCTCACGGCTGTGTACTGCTGAATGCCGGCGGCTGCTCAGCCAGGCCCTGGCCTGGACACTAACAGGGGCTGGAGACAGCAAACCTGGGCAAGTGCCTCAGGGAAGAGTCAACCACTGTGCCCGACTCCAGACTTCACTCTTGATGGCACGACAGGAGGCCAGGAGGCAGAGCTGAACTGGGCCCACGTGTCCCTGCTTAGCCCAGGACTTCTGTGGAAGAGCTGGCTCTTCCTATAGCTCCCCCCTTGCCTCTTGGGGCCAGAAATGAAACTAAACAGCCCAGGGGCACAGACTGTGAAGAACTCCAGCCCCACATCCCTCCTCATTGCCACCATCTGTACTCCAGCTCAGTCCAGTCCTCTGCAGACTGTGGCCCAGGTCCTAGGTTAGTCTCTGCCTACGTCTTGTGTGTGTCACGTCTCGTGAGCTGGACTCAGGTCTACACACGTCCTTGGCCCTTGGAGACAGTGTGAGCCAAATTACCTTCATCTTGGTGCGCAGGAAGCCATGGTCTCTGCTCTGGGGGTCTGTCAAGTGGCCCATGTCTTCAGAGGGAAGCTGGGCCACCACACAGGGCCCAGGGGCCACACTGTAGCTGGAGTCTCGAAGGCTCATGTTCAAAGCCAGGGGGCAGGAAGGGGGTTCGGCCACGGAGGGTTCTGGCTCCCGGTATGGCTGTGGTGGGCAGAAGCCCAGGCTGACTGGGGAGAGAACAGAAAGGTGAGGGCCTTGGTAGAAAGAGAATCCAGGGGGGTTTCTGGAAGCTTCCTTAGCCATGAGACGGCTGGAACCTGAAGAGTCCGTCCCTCCCATCGCAGGCATGCGGCAGAGCGGGGCTGCCCCGACCACCGCTGCTGTACCGCCCTCCCGCCCTATTAAGGTAATTGCAGGTGATGCCAGCCAAGCGCCACTGCCTGCTGAGTAATTTGTGTCTTAGCGGAACTGGGAGGACTGAACTGCCCCGTCAATTATCCCTCCAGAGTTGTCTGCCTGCCCCACCTGGGCCGGTCCCTCTGAATTCCACTCTCCTGCAGGGACAAAGGGCACCAGTGGAGGCCTTGTGCCCAGGGACAGCTCTTGGAGCCTCATCCTCACTCCAAAAGGGTCCCTGGTGGTCTGGGCCTCTCCAGACCTCTCCTCTGGTAAATTTGGTTGCTGGCCTTGGGGGTTTGGGTGGTCCTAGCCCTGCCTCCCACCACCCAGCAGGCCGGTCCCTGCTGTTGCAGCCCAGGGCTCCAGGCTCCCCACTCCCAGCTGGTACCAACTCTGCAGGGAAACAGCCCAGGTGGGTGGAACAGGGAGGAGGTCAGGGAGCAGCAGGTGGATGCAGCCTAACAGTCTCGGCTGCCTGCCCAGGCTTACGCAACCCTCCCCTCGGCAGGACCGCTCGCCGGGGCATGTCGGGCTGGGCGCCCTCAGCAGCGGCAGCACCGATACCTGGCAGCCCTTGGATGCAGCCACACCCGTGGCAAACACCTCACGCCAAACGGGCCAGGTAGGAGGCTTGGCTTCAGACCCTCAGCCCAGTCCTGACTAGAGAGGACCAGAAAGACGGCGCTCTCGAGGGACACAGAGAGACAAGTCTCAAAGCCAACAGAGCTGGGGCAAATTTTTCAACTTAGTATTTTTCTTCCAAACAGCCTGAGCTCAGTACTTGAAGCCTATAAGCTAAGATATCCTCCAAGTTTCAGAAGGAAGAATCAAGAGGGGCTAGGACCGAAAGGATGAGTGAGCCTCGGAGGGAGGCTGATGTGAGATTGCAGAAGCATGAGCACGACCCTGTGCACCCCGCCGTTCCGCAGCCAGTAAAGCAGAGAACTGGGGAGAGCTGGGCAGGAGGGCTGTTGCCCTCACCTCTTCTCCTAGGGGGAAGGGACGTGGGGGAAGCAGAGGAACGTGATCCAGGAGCCAGGGCAGGTTTGATAGTGCTTCAGGAGAGGCCCCAGCTCTCGCCCCCTCAAAACACAACAAAGGGCTGAGAGGAGAAGAATGCGCCTGCCAACGCCCAGAACCCGTCCTACAGGCCCTGGCGTCCGTCTGTCCGGGGACCTTTAATGAGCCACCTCATTCCTGGGGTTGATTCACCAGCGCCTGGCCCTGGCCTGGCCTGTGGGCTGGGATCGCACCTCTCTCTGAGCCTGAGTGTGAGGTCTGGCTGTCCATCCCGGCCTGTTCCCCTGTACCAGGAGCTGTCTGTGCCCACAGGGATGGGAGTGGGCAGGAGCTGGTGGTGAGCTTCTGATGCCAGCTCACCAGCTATTGGAGACCTTGGCTGAGAATTCAAAGCTGGATGACAGTTTCCATTTCTCAATCCAGGTGGAGACCAACAGGAACCTCTACCCTCCTCTGCCTGTCAGTACTGGATGGTGTGAGCGAGGCCCCCCAGCCGCACCACAGCGGGGCAGGAGACAGCAGGTGAGGGACGGGCTCAGCCCACGATGGTGGCTGCTCTGGGCTGCCTGCTTCACGAGAGGGGAGGCTCATGGTTAGAGTCCTGAGATCCACGCATTTGGGAGGAGACCTGTGTCCTTTGCCTGCCTCTGCTGTTCCACACAAACCTGGCAGAGCTGGTGCTGGGGACCCAGGACAGGGAGTGGGCCTGCCTGCTTCGGCTCTCTGGGCACCTCCACCCTGAGCAAGGGGCAGAGGAGGCTGGATGGGCGGCCACCCGCTGCCAGGGTGGGGACGTTTGCCTCATCCCACCCACCCCGCCAAACCTGTCTCCCTGCCACCCCCGTGAGCATGTCCCTGCTGTGGCCACACGCACAGGGAGTGTGTGCTGGCGTGCCACCTGGCACTGAGTGTCGCTGAGTGGCAGGAGGCAGGAAGCAGAACTGGTTGGGCCCTGCTTGTGATGCTCTCTGTCCCTAATTAGATGTTTCCGGCAAGGCGGTGGCGCTGTGACCACTCATCACCCGCCCACAGCTATGGAGTGTGGCAAGGCCGGACTGGCTTGGCCCTCTTCCTACTGCCTGGGGGCTTATGGGTTCCCTCCCGCTGGCCCAACTTGCCTGTACCTGGACAGTGTTGACGGCCAGGTTCAGAGAACAGGAATGGACACCGAGGGGCCGTGTCCAGGGCAGCCACCCATCAAGGCCTGTCTCCTGCCTTAGCCTTGGCAAGTCCCCTATCTCTTGGATTGAAACCTGCTGGCCCAGATGTTGAGCAGAGTGCCAAGTCCCCCCATCCAAGGCCTCAGGAGAGGGCTGGGCATGAGGCCTGTCCCTGGCTCTCTGGGGAGAGCAAGTGAAGCAGATGCAAGGATGACCCCCTCCTGGGCCCCGCTGACCGCATGGGTGCTGCCCAGAGCATGGGGGTCGCCCAGTTCCAAGTGTGAGGCCGGAGCCCAGTATGTCAGCACAGTGCAGCTGGTTCTCAGCAGCCTTTTACCCTTATCAGGAAGGGCTGGTACCCCCATGCCCATCTCCTCTAGTCCTTGTAGGTCAGTTAACAATCGTCCAAAAGGACCCAGCACCAGCCGGAGGCTGGCAGGCCGCGAAACATGTGGGCCCGTCTCTCGACTTTTTGTTTACTCTCTGAACTGCCAGAAGTTCCCTCAGTCAGGATAGTGCCCCTCTTTCCCAACTACTTTTCACGGTGTCCACAAAGAAGTTAAAACTGTGCCTCAGCCCTTGTGCCGGGGTGCCTGCCCAGAACAGTGGGGCAGCTCTTCCTGTTGCAGCCCCCACCCAGCCGGGCACAGGCCTGGCACCCCTGTGGGACTCTATCCAGGACTTGTGGAAATGACCGATAACACAAAGAAGCCCCAACTTCGACCATGCCAACTTCCCTCGCCATCCTCCCTGCGGCCAAAGGACCCGCCCCCTCACCTGTTCTTTCTGGGACAAATGGTCTGCCAGGTTTCTGCCTGGGGACACCCAAGCTCAGCACAAATAGCCTCGAAGGCTGGGTGACAGCACCCTAGGGATAGGTAGGAGTCCCATTTAGCTGGCTGCCCAGCCCACGCTGCTCTTCTGCCTCTGTCCACTGTCTGCTGTCCCCTCTCCCAGCCCCATTCCCTGGTGAGCACAGCAAACATGTTCTTCACTGCCAAACACAGCCAAGGAATGAGTAGGGTAACCATCAGAGGCCTGAGCTCTCCCCATCCTCGGGACCCAAAGCTGACTCTCAGCCTTCCTGACCTGCTGGAAAGAGACCTGCCCTAAGTGCCGCACTACCTAGTAGTAGAGCCAGGCTGGGCTGCATTCCTTGAAGGAAGCTCCAGCGTTCCACTGCTCAGCCTGCCAGCCTCCCTGAGCTCAAGTGTCCACCGGGCGAGTAGCAGAGCAGACCCTGGCCAGCCCATTGACATAGGGGAGGCTGGAAAGCAGTGGTGGGAGACCTGGAAGAGGCCCTGGGATGCTCCTTGGCTCCAGCTTCCAGCCTCGGGTCTGTCAGGTGCCTTCCTGGCCTGGAGATTTCACTTAGCAGGGGCGGGGCCTCAACCCTGTTCCTGGAGCCCTTCCCTGGTCAGTCTAGGAGGTAGAAGTTAACTCCTGGGTACAGGTGCCTGGGTTTATCCTCAAGGAACCAGCATTACTCCCTGTCACTCCAAGTCAATATTGACATAACAAAGGAAGGCGAGAGGGTGGGGGCAGGGAGCCTCAAGGTGGCTTACTAGCCAGTAATCCTTTCAAGTCTCCAGGGCGCAGGGAGCCATCCTCACCTCTTCCCAGGGGAAAATTCTGCCCTGGGAGTGAGAAGCTCTAGAATTCTGCCTGTGGAAGAGGGGCTGATGTGATTGTCAAACTGGGGTGCTGGAGTCAGTGCTGCCAGGCAGGGGCCCAGCGTCTCTGGCCAGTAAAACCTTCCCCTTCCAGGGGGTCTCTAAGGAACCTGGCAGGAAGCTCAGAACTCAAACACTCCCATGTTCCCGGGCCCTCCACTGGAAATGGGGTCAACGCTTAGCTGGTCACAACGTGCCAGGAGTCTACGAGGTGAACGGAAACGTGCCCAGTTGGCTCTGGGGTCATGGTTGGCTGGTGATGGAATGGCCCAGCCGGGGGACAGACCAGCACAAAACGCACCCCCACTCTCCAGCCATCGGAGGCACCCAAGCATGGGCTGAGGACATTCCCTTTCGCATTGCCAAAAACTGTGGGAAAACTCTCCAGTGGGCCACATGGCTTTCAGAGGCAAAATTAAGTTCTCGATCTTCTACCCTTGACCCCACGGATTCTCCCCTTGCCAGAGGGAGGAGGGCAAATTCTCCTTCTCCCTTCACCCTTGAGATTAGACCCCTGCCACCCATCCTGGATGAGCCTACAGAGAGAGCCGGCAGGTCTCTCTCACCTGGATGGTGGCAGCAGGTGGCCTGGACCACCCAGAGGCCCTCCCCTGCACCTGACAGGACAGCCCCTGGGGCCCGAGTCTCCCCTGCCACTTCCACTGTGGCCACCAAAACTGTGGCAGAGAAAATTGCCAGGACACAAAGAAGTCAGTGATGTCTACGGAATTTCTTTGTCCTTTGTAAAAGTCAACACATGATCTGTTACTGATTGGGATGTGAAATAAAACAAAATACCAGCGCACGGAGTCTGGCTCAAAGCTCAGCTCACCTTTACCACAGTCCAAGTTCAGTTTATCAGATCCCAAGGAGCAGCTAAGCAGCAAGTCAAACACAGGTGAGGGCGGAGGGCAGAGGCAGGAGGGGGCTCTGGCCCTCTGCACCCCCCTGCTCCACCCCAGGTAGAGAACCAGCCAGCTCACCAGGGAGTGTGGCCAAGCAAGAAGCTATAAACAGAATCCTGAGCCCACACCCTCATCTGCCTCGGGTGAGGAGGCCACTCACTTCCCTTTTTACCTTAGTTTCCCCACTGGGGTAATCAGGGACTTCTGGCACATTCCCTCGTTTTAAGGAACTGTGGAGGAAGGGTCCCCTTGAGATCAGGTTAAGCCGTGAAACCTCCTGCCAGGGCCACAGGCCACTGGATCCTGGCAGGTCAGGCCACAAAGACCTCACCACAACACTGACTCTCTCCAACAGCTTATTCAAGAGGGAAACTGAGCAAAAGCCCTCACAGGGCCCCTCATTGCTGCCCTCATTTCCCCACTTTCCTACAAGGCCTGAGGCGGTGCCAGGGAGTCTGCAGATCAAGGGTCAAAGTCAGTTGGTTAATTACCTTCTCCCCTCCCCCCTCGGAGGGGCTGGGCCGGGCGTTCAGAGTGTCCCCGCCCCGCCCCCAAAGCCTGGGGAGGGGTCGTTCGGAAGGAAGCTGGGTTTCTCCAGACCAAAGGCTTTGTTGGGGTGGGGGGAGGACAGAAGGGGCAAGAGTGTTCTTGGGGCGTGCAGAGGAAGATGCCGCTGGAGGAAGAAGCAACTCGGGTTACTCATTCACAGTCGACGCTGTCTAGGCGTCTGCCAAAAATAACTGGGGGCACCAGCTTCCCCCAGCCTGGTCCCCCACTGTGGGGTGGGTTCCCTTCAGCTGCTTTCCACGTAATTGTGTCCTCCACAAGGTGAAGAAAGTGCGTTTCTAGCAGAGGTGAGACCCGATCCACCTCTACCTTAAGGGCAAGCGGGGCGCAGCGGGAGTCTCGGCGCACTGCGCGGGACCAAGGAACCTGAGCCCCACGAGAACATGAGGGCCCACGCCCTCCACCGGCCCGACCCTCACTCCCGGCCACCAGTGTTGTGGGGGAGGAGGAAGGACCTGTGGGAGCCGCTTGAGCCCTGAGTCTTGTAGCACAAATCTCGGCCGAAACTCCAGCTCGATCCCCGCCCCCCAAAGTGGCATCGCTCCAGTGCCCTCCTCCCGCCTCTTGAAAAGTCCGGGTTTTCTGGATTTACGACGTGGGAGCGGAGGGTCGCCTGGGCGGTGACACACCCCGCTGCCTCCTCTGCGCTGCAGCTCAGGAGGTGGGGAGAGGCGGTCTCGCTCCCCTCTGCCGGGGGAACGGCTCCCAGTCCACCGCGCAGCCCCCGCCCCCACCGGCGCTCTTCCGCTGCCCCCGCCCCCTGCCCCCCGGACCGAGAGCCGCGGGTCCACCCGGCCTGGGCCGCAGCCGAATTCAGCTCCAGCGCCCACACCACGCTGCCGCCGGGCTCCGTGTACCTGCGCCCGCCGGCCCGCAGCCTCGACGCCGCCGCGGGCGCCCAGGCCGGAGGGCGGCTGGAGCCTCACCTGGCACGTAGATCTCGCCGCGCTCCTCATCGGGGAGCTCGCTCCAGTTCCTCTTGCACGTGGAGACGCACGGCTTCTTCACTAGGAACGCGCGGGGCATTTTCGAACTCTTGTCACTGGGCACCGGCCGCTTCCGTAACTGAAGCCGGGAGCGGTCCCACCTTTGCGGGGCCGGGCTGGTCGCCGGGAATGGGGCACAGCAGGGAAAGAGCGCTAAGGCGCCCCCACGTTCCTGGACGGTCTGAGCGCGGATCGCGCGCGCCGGTTCCAACAACGCGGAGTGCGGTCGTCCTCCCTGTGAACCAGGTCCCTTGCGGCCAGGTGCACCGGGCGGCGGGGGAAGCGGCAGGTAAGCGTCTCCCCGCTCGACTGGCGTCCCCGCGGCCGCTCGGGAAGTCTTAAAGTGCGAGCCGGACGGACGGGTTCACGCTTTATTGGCTCGCGGCGCTGTGTGTTGGTGGCTGGGGCGGGGGGCGGTGATCTGATCTAATTAGCTTGGAGTGGCCGGGGGAGCGACGGCGCATGCGTTGGGAAATAACGGTGACAACCCACCTATTTGTTACCTGTCGAACCGGTTTCCATTCCGCTGCGGGTGAGGTGGCCTCGCGGCCCGGGCGGGGCAGGGGGCGGGCGCCTGGCACCCAGCCCCCTGCTGCGCAGCCGGCTCGGCCCCGGCGGGACCTCCCAACCTGGCGTGCTGGCGTTTGCAATCCGGAGTTTCGGAGGGAGCGGAGCAGGGAGGGAGGGGGCAACGTTATTTGCACCGGCGCTGGCACACGCTCCACGGGTGATGACACGAAACTCGTCCAACTGGGGCCAGCCCAACCCTGCGCGCCCGAGGCTCCTGGGGAGGCGCGAAGCCGCCGGGCGGGAACTGGCGGCCCGGTTCGCACTTGTTGAACCGGGCCTGGGCCCAGGCGGCGCGGGATCCCAAAGGCCCGGCTGAGCAACTCGTGGATCAGCCGGGGAGGTGTTTGCTCGGCACCGGCTTCGTGCGAGAAGGCACGCAGGGCCTCAGGAGCGCGCCGGCCGGTGTGTGGGGAGGCGCGGGCCGCGGGCCGAGTACCCAGCGCAGAGCCTGCCTTCTGCCGGGACAGGCTTAGCCGAGGGCGTCGAGAGCCCGACAGATCCCCGCATCTTGGCCACTGGGGCTTATGCACCCTCAAAAACTCTCCTCCTTGTCCCAAATAGGTGGATTTCAGGTGCAACCAGGCTGGGGGAGCGCGGAGGGCGGGGGAACCTCAGACCTCAGCCTTTGCGTTGCTGTGGTCACTGCGGAGAGCTTCCCCTGCATGGCCTACCCTGGGCTGAGGTTCAGCCTGGGACCCCCGCCCCCAGCCACTTATCATGGCTCAGGCCCCAGGCCCACGAGGAGGGATGCCCCCGCTCCTCAGAGGCCTCCATTAAGCCCACACTGTCATCCTGACACTTCGGCGGTGGCTGGGCTTCCTTCACTGGCTGACCTACTTAAGGGCAGGGATGGGGCGTTTGTGTTTGCTTCTTTCCTTGCCTTTCCAAGGGCTGTGACCTTCACTCTGGTCCCAGCCAGACCTTCTAGTTCAACTGACATTAAGGGAACACCTAGTATGTGCCTATCTTTTGAGGTGAATCCAGGAGAAAGAAACTTGAACACAGTCTGTCTAGGAGAGAGGTGCATTCAGTTCATTCATTCAACAAATACTGAGTTTTGTTGTGCCAAGCCCCAATGGGCCGGGACACAGTGGGTGCTCAGTGGATACTATGGGAAATCTTCACAGATGTCCCTAGACCCAAGACGCAGTCTTTGACATCAGGGCAGCAACTCCAGTGTCCAGAAGGCCAGGACACTGGATAAGTACAGTGAAGCCAGCCAGGGAAACTCTCCCTACACAGTAAGTTACAGGGTGTGGAATGGGGCCCCAGGTGGGAGGCAGTGTTGTCCATGTGGTTCACTGCTATAGCCCGATATCCCCAGCTGTGCCTGGCACAAAGAGGGTGATCAATAAATGTTTGTTGAATGAATGAATATCCTATTTTCTTGACTCCTGTGACCCATTCACCTTTCACAGTCCAACTTTTGGTAGAGACATAGATATGGGAAGTCAATACTACAAATTCAGGGATAAAAGACAACAGACCCTGGCTGTCGGGGAGGGAACAGAGTGGGAGGAACTGGGGAGAATGTGCCTATCTAAAAGGCCATCACAATCCTGTCACTCAGGTACACAAACCCCACGTGGCCACAGCTTTCCATTTTCCAACTAGAAGTCCAGATTTGTAAATGAAATCGAATTTTTTAAATGTTAGCTCAATTTTTTTTTTTTTAATAATTTTAAGAGTGAGGTCTCACTGGCTCGCCTGAGCTGGAGCACAGTGGTGCAATCTGGAATTAACCAGCTCAAGTCATCCACCTGCCTCAGCCTCCCGAGTAGCTGGGACTACAGATGGTTGACACCACACCCAGCTAACCAAAAAGTCTGAAAACATGGAAAGAGTCAAACAAAACACCTTCGTGGGTTAGGTTTGACCCACAGGCTGTGGTGCGTGGTGTGACTGCCTTCACGGGCAGCTCTGGAGACAGATGATGTATATGATGGTGGGGAAAGGCGGAGCTGACTCTGAACCCCATGAAGGCTGGCGCCTTCCGCTCTGATCACCACAGCACCTAGCACAGTGCCAGCTAGATGTTCCTTCATCCCTTAATTCAGTCAACAATTCCTGAGCACCTGTGTGCCAGGCACTGAGATTCTACAAAGCAAGGCAAAGAAATAGGAAAGCTTGTAAGCATAAGCATAAGATGCATGCAGAGCATTTGACGGGAGAGCGTGATAGTGGCAGGTGGGGTTGCAGAGGCCTGATGAGAGGGAGGAGCCAGCTGTGAAGAGTGGGGAAGTGCATGACCAGCCGAAGGAACTGCTGGTGCCAAGGCCCCAGAGCAGGATTGAGCGTAGGGTGTGTGCCACGAACGCAAATGCAACTCGGCTGGGCAGTGAGAGGAAAGGAGAGTAGGGGAGCCGAGGTTGGAGAGGCAGATTGGTCACGACACCCGAGTTGCTGTTAAAACCCAGGCCCGGCCTCGGAGCCTGGGGCCTGGCATGCTGTGGCCGCCGCTGACCTTCCAGCTCCCAGCCGGGTCCCTGTGTGCCAGCCACACTGCTGGCTCCTGCGTCCCCTGAACAGGCCCTGGCCTGTTCCCAGCTCTGGCCCCTCCTCCCACTGCGCCTTCTGCCTGGAACACTTTTCCCTACTGGATTACTGGCTACCTCTCTTCATTCAGGTTTCAACCAACCGTCCCCTCTTGTGAGGGGCTCTCTGTTCACCCCAGCTCAATCTTTGTCCCCACCACCCCTGTCCAACTATCCTATTCTGTTTTCTTTGCCACAACTTTCGCTGCATGGCGCTTTGGTTTTGTCCTTGTTTATTGTTGATTATCCTCCCCACCAGTGCAAGTTCTGAACTTGAGGGACCCCTTTTTATTTTATTTTTGTTTCTGTTTTACGTTTTGAGATGGAGTCTCACCCTTATGCCAAGGCTGGAGTGTAGTGGTGGGATCTCTGCTAACTGCAACCTCCTCCTCCTGGGTTCAAGCAATTCTCCTACCTCAGCCTCCTGAGTAGCTGGAACTACAGGCTTGTACCATCACGCCTGGCTAATTTTTGTATTTTTTTAGTAGAGATGGGGTTTCACCATATTCTCCAGGCTGGTCTCGAACTCCTGACCTTGTTAAATGCCCACCTCTGCCTGCCAAAGTGATGGGATTAACAGGCGTGAGCCACAGTGCCTGGCCTTTATATTTTATTTTTGCTTTTTGTGCCTCTGCTGGTCTGCTGGTCTGAGGTGGGCCCCCTTTTTAAACACCATTTTAAATAGCTTTATTTAGATATAATTCATATACCATCAAATTCACCCTTTCATAAAGTATACCATTCAGTGTTTTTTCATAACCTCACAGAGCTGTACAATGATCACCACTAAATCCCAGAACATTTTCATCACACCAAAGAAAACCCTCTACTCATTAGCTGTCACTGTCTCCCCTTCCCCCGGCCCGGCACCCACTGTCTGCTCCATCTCCATGAGTTAGCCTATTGACTCGTTCCCCTAAGCCTTCCTGTATCCTCATCACCCAGTTCTGTGAGGGTGTGTTCTGTGAGCTCCATTTTATAGATGAGAAAACTGAGGCTCAGGACCCCTTGGGAAATTGACTTTTCTTTTTCCAAGCCTTGTGTCTAGTGTCTGCCCACAACTGGGCTTCATGGGGAGGACTGAAACTCAGCAGGAGGAGAAGAAATGGGGGAGGGCATGGATCGGGGAATTCCCAGCTCAGCATCTGGCAGTGGCCCACACCTGGGCCTTCCTTGGCTGGGATGTTTCTGTCCTGGGTGAGTCTGATGATGGCTTTGCCAGGGACAGAGCCAGCACCACTCGCCCATAGGGAAGCAGACAGGTGGGAACAAGGCCCACCCAGGGACCTGGACACCCAAGAGGGTACCTGGTGCGGGGGGGAGGACCAGGTCAGATGAAGCAAGGGGCTGTTTGTGGAAGTCCAGGCTCCACTCTGAGGGGCTCTGTGACTGAGTGACTGCGCCTCCGTGGCCTTCCCTTTTCTCACCTGTGCCTGGTACCCACCCTTGGTACTTGGGGTTGCTAGGAGCCTCAGTGAGTCTATGTGGATTCGTCCATTGCAGTATTGGAGACCATAGGTGGGTTTCCTCCCTCAGCCCCAAGGAGCCAAGACTCAGGCAGGAGGTGGCAGAGGCCACGCTGTCAGAGGCTGAGCCGGGGGCCGGAGCCAGTGCCAGGCCTCCTGACCCTTGGAAGCCTGTCTCCTCAACTCTGTGAGGGGTTTAATAACCACTTAGTGAAGGTGGGGAGGGCCGAGGATGTGCGGTTACCAGCACCCTCTGGGCTCAGACAGGGAAACCAGACTGGCTCCTGCTGCAGGCCGCCTCCCCTCCCCAGGGCTGCTCTCATCCTGCCCTCTTTCATCTTGGGTTTAATTAGCCAGGCTGCCTCACCCCACAGCCTCTTGGGTGGGAGTTATCACTCCCATTTTATAGATGGGGAAACTGAGGTACCTAGAGGGAAGTGGTTTGAGACTGCCCCTTGTGAGTCAACTGTGGAGCCAGGGCCCCGAGGAGCCAGGACGGGGCCTTCTGGCTGGACCTGTCCCTCTGGGTGGGTCCGTATCTCTCCATCCCCGAAGGCACCCAGACAGCCTCCTTTTTGGCACTCTCCACCCCTCGACTCTCTACCACCGCCCATCTGGAGCAGGATGGGGTAGGGAGAGACCAGTTGGCAGTGCCTTGCATGGGGGCTCAGGCCCGTTTCATCTTCAAAGCGGCTAATTAGAGCCAGAGGTGGGTGGTGGGGTTTGGGCGCCGGCGTTCTGTGCTCTGGAAACCGGTGGTCTGTGGGGTACCTGCAACCTGGGCCTCTGGCCTGGGAGAGACCGCGGCCCAGACACCCCCCTCCCCCGAATACCCCCAAACAGCCAGAATCCAGCCCACTGAAGTCAGGAGTGCTGGGTTCCGGCCCTGCTTGGCCCCAGGTCTCGGTTGGCAAGGCTGCCCTCCTCGCGGGCCTTGTTTTCCCCATCACTAGGCGTGCCTTGAGCCCCGTGACCGGCCAGGCCCTGACAGCCCGCACTTCCCGATTATGGATCCCGTTGTTTTCAACTTAGGGCCCTGCCCTGCCCTCGCCGTCACGACCCCTGCGGGCCGCCAGCGCGGCCTCGAGCAAACAAAGGTCAGCAGCTCCCGGAGGGCCGCAACCGCGGCGCCGGCTCCTCGCCCCCAAGCCGAGCGGGTGGGGGGCCTGGGCAGGCGTCAGGGAAGCGAAGCCAAGCCCTGCGGCGCCCGCCCGACCGGTTCAGCTGGGGCGCCCTTCCTGCGGGCGCCCTGCGACCGCACCTTGCTAACCCCCAGCGGCCACTCCGGGAGCCCCAGGACCCGCACCCACGCCCCCCGGGGCCGCGGGGCCGGCGCAGGGTGCGGTGCACCCCGGCGCAGGCGGGGGGCGCGCTGGATGCCGCCCTGCGCGGCTTGGCGGGCGCTGGTGGGGCAGGGCCGCTGTCCGCCGAGGACCGCGGAATCGCAGCCCCGCGCCGCGGGATCCGGGATCGGGGGCCCAGGCTCACCCCGCTCCGCCGCCCCGACTCACTCCCCTCCGCCTTTCCTGCCCGGGCCTGCGGCGGTTTCTGGGAAGAGGGCCTGCGCGGCGGGACAGTTAGCCCCCGCGAAACCGGCGAGTAGGCACCTGCGGGAGGCGGCGGCCCCGTTACGCCCCGCCCCGCCCAGACCCAGCCGCCCCCGCGCCCCGCCCCGCGCAGCCAGCCCGGAAGGAGACGGCCGGCCTGAGCGCCCGCAGCGGCTGAGTCAGGCGGCGAGCGCAGCCCGTTACCGCGGGCGCCGGGGGCCCGGGCGGCTCTGTGGTTTCGGTGCGAGCCGCGGGCGAGAGGGCGGCGGCCTAACGAGCTCTCCGCACGCACCCGCCCTCGCCCCCTCCCCGCTCCTGTCCTGCGGGGGCCCAGGCGTCGGCCCGGAGAGCCTTGGTTTCACCGTGGGAGCAGGGCGCGGGTCCCGCCGGCATCTGCGCGGCGGCCAGGGGTGACCGCAGCCCCTTGGGGTCGGCGGCTGGCCCCGCGCTGCTGGCGGCCGCGGCCTGAGGCTCCCTCTCCCCTGCGCGGGGACCCGCGCGCCTCACCATGGGGCCCCTAAGCCGGGACGTCTGGGCCCAGCGCCTGGGGGCCTTCCGGGCCAGCCCGTCCGCCTTCATGGCAGGTCCCGAGGCGGAGGATTTGGGTCGCGACCTGCTGGGCGACCTGAGGAATGAGAAGCTGAGCGAACAGACCAAGGTAGGCCCCCACGTGTCCCCTGCCCCGGCCCGCAGGGTCACCCCAGCCTGCCGCGTCCGGAACCTCATCTTCGTGATTCCCTCCTAATCCCCCATCCAGGTTTCCCTGCTGGCTCTGAGCTTGGAGTACCCAGCCCAGCTGTGGCCGGACGCCACTGCGGCCGAGGTGGCCGCCACCTCCCTGTTGGACACCCTGGTCCTCCTACCCCCGCGGCCCTCAGCTCTCCGCCGGCCCCTGCTGCTGGCGGCCACCACAGCCCTGGCGGTGGGCGGTGCGCTAGGCCCCACCTCGGGCGCCTCCTGCCGGCTTCTGCCCCTACTTCTCGGCCTGGCGGCGGGCAGCGATCTGGGGCGAGGCTTTGTCCCCGCCTCGGAACAGCGTCCCTTGCAGGCCACCGCCTGCGAGTGCCTGCGAGAGCTAGAGAGCTGCAAGCCCGGGCTGCTTGGGGGCTCCCTGGGGCTGCTGCGGGGCCTGCTGGGGCAGGAGGGCCCTGTCCAGCCGCTCAGCCTGCTGCTGTCCCTTGCTTTGCGAAACACCCTGGTGCTCCAGTCCCGGGCTGGGGCTGGCCTGGGGGCACTGCTCACGGCTAGAGTCTCCCCAACTGCGGGTGGTCCCTGGGATTGGGCACTAGTGGAGGAGGGCGATGGACGCCTTCAGCCCCAGGCACCCAGCTGGCCGGCAGCTGAGGAGGGAGACGGGGAGCGTAGCCTTACAGCACGAGGGCACAGCCCTGAGGAGGTGCGGGAGCTGCGGGCTGCGGTGGCCCAGCTTCTGGACACCTCCTATCTACTCACTCCTGTGGCCCAGGCCCAGCTCCTGTGGCTGCTGGGCTGGGCCCTGCGGGGTCTGCAGGGACAGCCACCAGCACTCTTTAAGCCGCAGTTGGTACGGCTGCTAGGCACAGCACAGCTGACACTGCTGCACGCGGTGCTTGCGCTCAAGGCGGCCTTTGGTGAGGCCCTGTTCACAGCCCAGGATGAAACACTGCTGCTCCGCCGGATCACCTTGGCCGCCCAGCACCCTGCCCTGCCTCCATCCACACATCTCTTTTACCTGCACTGCCTCCTGAGCTTCCCCGAGAACTGTCCACTGGGCCCCGAAGGTGAGGAGGCCGCCCCACTGCTGCTAGGGCCCCAGCTATGCCGTGGTCTCCTGCCCAATCTGCTGCATGAGCCGACAGCCCTCCTGGCCCGCCTGCATTTGTTGTGCCTGCTCTGTGCCGAAGATGAAGAAGAGGAGGAGAAAGGCCAGCTTCCAAGCCCAGGGCACTACCTGGAAGAGCTGCTGGCCGGCTTGTGGCAGAGGGCAGCACTGGAAGGGGGACCCCGGGCCTTGGCCACTCTCTGTTTCCAGGCCTCATACCTGGTTGCCCGTTGCCTGGCTGGGCAACCTACTGTGCTGACCCCCTTGATCCACGGACTGGCCCAGCTGTACCGAGCCCGGCCCATGCTGGCTCCCCACTTTGTGGACCTCTTGGATCAGGTAGACCCTGAGCTGAGGGAGCCCCTGAAGGTGGTGTTACGGCAGGAGGTGGTGTCCAGGCCAGGCAGGGATGAAGCTCTTTGCTGGCACCTGCAAATGCTGGCAAGGGTGGCAGATGGAGATGCCCAGAGTGCTACCCTCAACTTTCTACGGGCTGCGGCTGCCCACTGCACCAGCTGGGACCTACAGCAGGGCCTGCTGCAGGTCTGCCGGGCACTGCTGCGGGCAGGGGTGGGGGGTGGCCTAGTCGACTTGCTGCAGGTACTGGCCAGGCAGCTGGAAGACCCTGATGGGCGTGACCATGCCCGACTCTACTACATCCTCCTGGCACACCTGGCAGGACCCAAGTTGGGGGTGGCCCTGGGCCCCTCCCTTGCCACACCTGCACTGGCCTCTTCACTGGTGGCCGAGAATCAGGGTTTTGTGGCAGCACTGATGGTGCAGGAGGCCCCGGCCCTGATACGGCTGAGCATGGGTTCCCATGAGGTCAAGGGCCCACTCCCAGTGCTGCAGCTCCTGCCAGAGGCGCTGGAGCCCATCTACTCTCTGGAGCTGCGCTTCCGCGTGGAAGGACAACTATATGCACCCCTAGGGGCTGTCCATGTGCCCTGCCTGTGTCCTGGCCGCTCTGCCCGCCCTCTGCTCCTGCCCCTGCAGCCCCGACGCCCAGCCCCAGCACGGCTGGATGTCCATGCCCTTTACACTACATCCACCGGTCTCACGTGCCACGCACACTTGCCACCCCTGTTCGTGAACTTTGCTGACCTCTTTCTGCCTTTCCCCCAGCCGCCTGAGGGGGCCGGTCTGGTCTTCTTTGAGGAGCTCTGGGATTCCTGCCTGCCAGAGGGTGCTGAGAGTCGTGTGTGGTGTCCACTTGGGCCACAAGGCCTGGAGGGCTTGGTGTCTCGCCACCTGGAGCCTTTCGTGGTGGTGGCCCAGCCCCCTACCAGCTACTACGTAGCGATCCACCTGCCCCCGGACTCAAAGCTGCTGCTGCGGCTGGAGGCAGCCCTGGCAGACGGAGTGCCTGTGGCCCTGCGGACTGATGACTGGGCCGTGCTGCCTCTGGTGGGGGACTACCTCCGCGGGCTGGCGGCTGCTGTCTGAGCCCCAGGAGGCCAGGTGGGGCAGGACTGTGGCCCTTGTGGGGGCCAGGGCACACTCCTGTGGCTCTTTTTCCCAAACCCTGCATTCCCCAGTGCCCTCGCTGGCTTGTTTTCTTCTGGGCCCTGGTTGGGAGCAGGCTCATGGGGGTGAGGGTCTTAGTCTGTTTTTGCTGTCCTAGTAAGATACCTGAGACTGGGCAAGTTACAATAAACAGAAATGTATTGGCCCACAGCTCTGGAGGCTGGGAAGTCTGCGGTTGAGGGTCCAGAGCCCAGCGAGGACCCTTCTGCATCATCCCGTGATAGAGGACAGAATGACAAGAATGAGGGGAGAGAGCAAACCCACTCCCAAGATAACAGCCTGGGCCCCTGCAGGAGGGCAGAGCCCTTGTGGCCTGATCACCTCTTAGGGTCCTAAGTCTTACACTGTTACGGTGGCAATTACGTTTCAGCATGAGTGTGGGAGGGGATGAGGCCCCAGGAAGGCCCCCAGACAGAACCCAGGACTGCAGAGTTATATAGTTCTGTCTCAGCCAGACACACTAGTGCTCTCCAGGGTCCCTGCCCAGGAGGCAGGGGAAAAATCTCCTTTCTGCTCACCAGAGAGGGTCTGGCCTTGCCCAAGGCCGCTCAGTGATTTAGGAAGGGGCTGGAGCTAGAGGGTGTGGGATAGTACTTTTCTTTCTTCTTTTCTTTTGGTGGGGGGGGTGCTAAAGACAGGATCTCACTCTGGTGCTCTGGAGTGCAGGGTGCAATCAGGGCTCATTGCAGCCTCTGCCTCCCAGCTCAGGTGATCTTCCCATCTCTGCCCCCTGAGTGGCTGGGTCTGCAGGTGTGAGCCATCACTGTATTTTTTGCACAGATGAGATCTCCCTGTTTCCCAGGCTGGTCTCCGACACCTGGGCTTAGGCGACTCTCTTGCCTCAGCCTCACCAAAGTGTTAGGATTACTGGTGTGAGAGCCACCACACCCTGCCAAGCCAGCACTTCTCAACCACCAAAGTTTGCAGGGTTCCTACCCCAGGGAGCTCAGGCCGGGCAGAACAGTGGGCCTAAGCCAGAAACAGAACGGCTGTGGTGGCCAGGTAGTTTCTCCAGGGAGAGAGCTTCCCAAGCTCTGCCAGTTGGAGCCCGGTCTAGGAGGGGCCTGCTAATAAGGTTCGAGGGCTGAGACAGGGAGCCACATGATCGGGGTTAAGACTAAACTTTTTCTAATTTCAGCCCCTGAGAACCCTAATTTATGCCTAGGAATCTTCCCAGGTAAGAAGAACTAGTTCCTCTCGTTTTTGTTTTTTTTTCCTCAAACGTCCAAACACAGGATTCAGCTGTGTGGGGGCCAGCTGTGCTGCCAGGCACATGTGTTGCCTCATTTCATCCTTGCAACAGCTCTGCAGGGCCCCGCAGATGAGGAAATCTGTAGGTCAGAGCGGTTGAGTGATTTTCCTAAGGTCACCCAGCTGGTTGGTAATTGTTTTGTCATCTGGTAGCAGGTTTCCATTATCACGCCATCAGAGTAGACCTCAGCCAGGGCCACTGAGGTCCCAACCCTGTCTGCCCTCTTCTGCTGCCCCTGCCTCTTGGGCTCCCAGCCACAGGTTCCCCATGGGCCAGCTTTACTCCTCCTGATCCTCCTGATTGGGGCAGGCCAGAAGAAAGACAGGTCTGGGCTGGGTGTGGTGGTTCACGCCTATAATACCAGCACTTTGAGAGGCTGAGGCAGCTGGATCACCTGAGGCCAGGAGTTCGAGATCAGCCTGGCCAACATGGCAAAACCCTGTCTCTACTAAAAATACAAAAATTAGCCGGATATGGTGGCATGTGCCTGTCATCCCAGCTACTCAGGAGGCTGAGGCAGGAGAATTGCTTGAACTCAGGAGGTGGAAGTTGCAGTGAGATGAGATCGCACCACTTCACTCCAGCCTGGGTGACAGTGAGATTCTGTCTCAAAAAAGAAAAAAGGGAACCAGGCCTGGGACAGTGGGAGGTTATAGGTCAAGTCAGGGGGCCTGCCTCAAACTTGACATGTGGCAATAACTTGCTATGTCACTTCAGCAAGTGATTTCCAAATCAGGAAGGGATCGGTTTCAGGAAACATATTTCTCCAGCTGTTTCTGGCAGAAGGAGATTTGAGGGGATCAGGGTACTTAAAAGTTCAGGGGAAGTCTGGAGAAGCCACCTCCAGGAGGCTCCCGCTGGAGCTGAGATCAGAACATACTGTCCTGCCATCCACCCCTTCTCAGCACCCAGGAAGGTGGGCTTGGGCCCTGGCATGTGGGGTGGGGCTGCCACCATGCCAGGCTTAGGCCAAAGCCAGAAGCCTGAAGCTGCTGCTGAAGGAGTGAACATCTCCAAGGCTGGGCCCGCAGGGCAAATGGCCCTGGCCCTGTTTCCTCTGTCCACATCCTTCAAAGGACATCTCATTAGTGGACTCCATTTCTCTCTTCCACAGAACTCCAGGGGCGAGGGAATCTCTTTGCCTGCAGATGCTAATCCTTAGCCTAAAAGTAAGGTAACTGGTCCATGTGAGGACTGGCCATCCTGTCACCCATCTCTCTGCCCACCTATGCATCCATTCCATTTTATCCATCCACTCCTCCAGTGTTGGACACCAGATGACCTTCAGCTCCCCCACCAACCAAAACTGTGCTGCAGTGGCCATTCTTAGATGTCCCCTGTGGACCTATGTAACACTTTCTCTGGGATACATGCTAGGGGCAGAATTGCTGAATCGGTGGGCATGTATGTTCGTGGCTTGGCTAAGCAATGTTGGAGTAAAAGCTTTTGGTTTTGCATCTTCTCAGCGCTCCTAGGGAGGCACCAAGAGGCAGGATGGCACCTTGTGAGCCCTCCTGAGAGAGCTCCTAGACCCCACCCCTCTGTGTCCTCAGCATCACACACTGCTGCTCATCACCTCAGCTTCCTGAAGATCTATAGCGGCACGCCTGGAACTGTCCAAGTACAACCAAAAATTCTTCCTAAAAAGAGGGAACCAAAGTCACATGGGTCACTTTGTCCACCTGTGTGGACGATGCTGATGTTCACGTACCCTTCCTTGCCTGTTTCAAGTCCAGCTCTGGCTAATGAAATGTGAAGTTTTGGGGCAAAATATGTCATTGCCAATGTTCAATTTTCCAGCCCCCTCTCCCTCTGCCATGACAGTTGGGGAAGTGCATGTTTAGATGGAGGTGCTGGCCGGGCGTGGTGGCTCAAGCCTGTAATCCCAGCACTTTGGGAGGCCGAGGTGGGTGGATCACGAGGTAACTTTCCTGATGACCACCCACCGTGGACTGGCTCTGCCCGGTTTGCAGAGCTCGTGCGTTTGCATGGAAAGAGCTTCTGCCATAGAGGGCCTAATTGTAATACATTTAAATATTAAGTCTCCACCCCAAAGCGAGCATGGATTGTATGTTACATGCATGTTTGTTCAATATGCATGTGTCAGAACCACCGTCACGAATATTCATAGCTCTTCATGTAAGCTATTGAATGTGTAGGTTTCATCGGTCCACTGAGCATGAAGCTTCCTCCTCCTTCGAAGTGCCTGCCTCTGGTCTTGGCTGGAGGCTCGATTCCCAGTGCGTCTTTCTTTCCAAGGCTGGAGTGCAGTGGTGCGATCATAGCTCACTGCAACCTTGAACTCCTGGACTCAAGTGATCCTCCTACCTCGGCCTCCTAAGGTGCTGGGATTACAGGCATGAGCCACTGTGCCTGGGCTATAACCAGTTAAATCATGTTGAGCCTAAAGCTGCCTCCTTACATATTTTAAATTTGGCCTAAAGGTTTCTCTTTGCAGTGTGAACTGTAACCTAAATGGACTTGTGAACAGAATGTAGCCAGTGCTTGTGCCAGTCGCGGAGTTTTGGCTAATCAGAGGTGGCCAGCTGTTCAAACCGTTCAGATAAGGCAAACACCATCCAGCTGGTTTCCAGATCTCACTTCTGTTTTCTGTACTTCATTTTCCTTTTTCTGTCCATAAATCTTCCACCACGTGGCAGCACAGGAGTCTCTGAGCCCACTCTGGCATAAGAGGCTGCCTGATTCTTGAATTGTTATTTGCTCAGTTAAACTCTGTTAAACTTACCTGGACTAAAGTTTTCCTTTTATCACTGAGCAGCCTGTATTTTATCTGTTAACCCTGGGTTGATATTTACAACTTCTTTCTTCCATACCTATTCTATGGTTCTTTTAGGGATCTTAATGAAGTGACCCAAACTGCACTCCTGAAGGGTCTGAGTCCTTGGTCATTCTGCTTGTATTGGGTCACTTGAGGCTTTCATAAACACTATCACTGAACCCAGCAATCCTCAGCGACGTCTCAGGGGATGCCCTGGGTACAGCAGACTCCTTGTCTCTGTTGTGTGGCAGCAACAGCCTCTCTGTGGACAGTCAGGACCAGTCTTCCTCTTAGAGCTGTTGGTCCCCAGGCAAAATGATGATGGGGAGGCAGCCTTTACCTCCAGTTCAAAAAAACCATGCAGTGTTCATTCCTGGCAGCACTGTCCCTTGGACACTGAGGCCTCTAAACCTTAGAAGGAATGGGAAGGCAACATTTTGTCAGAGGCCTTCAGGCAGAAGGATAATGGTGGCAGCATTAAGTGCCCAGTGTCGCCTAGAGAAACAATATGTAATGAGGAGAAAAGATAAAATGTCGCAACAGCAAGCCCTCAGGATAACGTGGAGACAAGAATGCTCAAACTTAAAAAGAACAAGAAAACAAATAACATAGAAATTACCCATCTGGGTGTGGTGGCTCATGTCTGTAATCCCAGCACTTTGGGAGGCTGAGGTGGACAGATTCCTTCAGCCCAGAGTTCGAAACTAGCCTGGGCGACATGGTGAAAACCTGTCTTTACAAGAAATACAAAAATTAGCTGGGTGTGGTGGCATGGTGGTGTTCTAGCTACTTGGGAGGTTGAGATTGGAGGATCATTCGAGCCCAGGAGGTCTGGGCTGTAGTGAGCCTTGATCACACACTGCCCTTTGGCCTGGGTGTCAGAGACCTTGTCTCAAAAAGACAGAAAGAAAAGGAAGGAAGGAAAAACAAATGACAGCTTAGTATGTCTCCCTCTCACATGCCCATTTCAACCTCACCTGCCACAGGCTTTGTATAGGGACAAGACTAGCTGAGGAAAACTGGGGCAAAGGAGAGGAGAGGGTTGTAATGGGACTTAGGCTTGATCTAAGACCTCACCAAAAAGACTTAAGTATACTTTGAGCCTGAAAATGTAAAAACATGTCTGCAGTAGCGGGAGATTTAAAAGTACACATGAGGGCAGGCATGGTGGTTCATGCCTGTAATCCCAGCTCTTTGCGGGGCTGAGGCAGGTGATCACCTGAAGTCAGGAGTTCGAGACCAGCCTGGCCAACATGGTGAAACCCCATCTCTACTGAAAGTACAAAAATTAGCCAGGCATGATGGCCCATGCCTGTAGTCCCAGCTACTCAGGAGGCTAAGGCAGAAGAATCGCTTGAACCCAGGAGGTGGAGGTTGCAGTGAGCTGACACTGTGCCACTACACTGTAGCCTGGGAGACAGAGTGATACTTTGTTTAAAAAAAAAAAAAGTCCGGTGAGATATGAAGACACTGTCTTGGAAACACATAGCTCCTGGGGGAGCAACTACCCACAAAAGAAGGGAAAAGTGCCCTTTGGCATTTGGGTGTGAAGAGGGAAGCAAATGGAGAAGTTTAATTGTCTTCCAAGACAAAAAAAAAAAACCCACAGCCCCCACTCCCGCCCCTGCAAAACAAATTCACTAAAGCATCTGGACTTTACAATGTTGCCAGAAGAGGGCGCATTATCTAGGGATCGTGTAAAACAGTTAATACCACGAAAGTGAATAATAAAATCATACGTACAAAGTGAATCACACATACAAAGTTATGGCAAAATATCAGAAAACGAATTCCATCACATATGAACCAAGGAAAATTCACACAAACCTCTGAAACAACAGCCATGAAGAAGAGAGCTGTAGTACACCACTCTAATAGAACCAAACATACTCAAAACAAGCATTTGAAGACATGTAAAGCCACTTTGGTGGGAAATTTCAAAGCAAAGAACAGAAATAGACAAAACGGAGGAAGAAATGAAAGAGATTTGGTTGAACTTGGGAAAGAAAGGCAACAAACAGACAAAATTATCTAGAAGTGAAGATTAAATCACAGGATGCCCAAGGGAGAATAAAATCTGATAAGGGGCATTGAAGGAACACAGAAGGCCAATCGAGAGAATGAAAATGAGATAAATAAGTAGGCTGGGTCCAGAGAAAGGAATGGAAACAGAAGACAGTCAAAGAAGGAATCACATGTGTATTACTGGAGTCCCTGAAGAAAATCTAAACAGTAAACCAGAACTAATATTTAACACTATAAGAAAACTGTCCAGGAGCAAAAAATCTGTACGTTGGAAGAGCCCACTGGGAGTGTGGGAAAATTCACTCCGTGTGATCAACTTTGAGATATATCCTAGTAAAACCCTAATTGCAAAGACGCTTTAAATTTATTTATGTTTAAATGTATTGTATTTGTTTCTGTCACCCAGGCTGGAGTGCAGTGGCATGGTCTCGGCTCACTGCAACCTCCACCTCCTGGCTTCAAGTGATTCTCCTGCCTCAGTGTCTTGAGTAGCTGGGATTACAGGCAGCTGCCACCATGCCCAGCTAATTTTTGTATTTTTGGTAGAGATGAGGTTTTGCCATGTTGGCCAGGCTGGTCTGGAACTCTTGATCTCAGGTAATCCACCTCCCTTGACCTCCCAAAGTGTTGGGATTACAGGTGTGAGCCATCATGCCCAGCCTAAAAGACTCTTAAAAAAAAAAAAAACCCTCAAGGTCTCCAGGCAAAAAGATCAAATAACTTACAAAGGCAAAAGAATGAGAACGACAGCAGACTTTTTAAACTAGCATACAAAGCAAGACAGCAACGGAGCAGCAGGTTTTAGACATTATGGCTTTACAAGCGTGAGCCAGGATTTTATATTCAGACAACTGTCCTTCAAGTATCACAATTTCAGGAACCAATTTTATGTCTTTCAGTGAGTACCTATGAATTCTGCACACATGGGTCAGTCTGACAGAGATGTGCTTCATCCACACCAAAGAGAACAATTATAAATCAGATATATAGGCTGAGCATGGTGGCTCACACCTGTAATTCCAGCACTTTGGGAGGCCAAGGCAGGAAGATTGCTTGAGGCCAGGAGTTTGAGAACAGCCTGAGCAACATAGTGAGATCTTGTCTCCACACACAAAAAAATAATAATAAAATGGCCAAATGTGGTGGCGTATAGCTGCAGTCTTTTTTTTTTTTGAGATGGAGTTTCGCTCTTGTTACCCAGGCTGGAGTGCAATGGCGCGATCTCGGCTCACCGCAACCTCCGCCTCCTGGGTTCAGGCAATTCTCCTGCCTCAGTCTCCTGAGTAGCTGGGATTACAGGCACGTGCCACCATGCCCAGCTAATTTTTGTATTTTTAGTAGAGACAGGGTTTCACCATGTTGACCAGGATGGTCTCAATCTCTTGACCTCGTGATCCACCTGCCTCCGCCTCCCAAAGTGCTGGGATTACAGGCATGAGCCACTGCGCCTGGCCATAACTGCAGTCTTAACTGCTCAGGAGGCTGAGGCAGGAGGATGGCAGCTTGAGGCTGGAGTTCAAGGTTACAGTGAGCCATGATCACACCACTACCCTCCAGCCTGGGTGACAGGGTGAGGTCTCAAAAGAAAAAAAAAAAAAAGGCCAGGTACAGTGACTCGTGCCTGTAATCTCAGCACTTTGGGAGGCCAAGGTGAGCAGATCACTTGAGGTCAGGAGTTTGAGACCAGTCTGCCTAACATGGTGAAACCCCATCTCTACTAAAGATACAAAAATTAGCCAGGTGTGGTGGGCACCTATAATCCCAGCTACTCGGGAGGCTGAGGCAGGAGAATCACTTGAACCCAGGAGGCAGAGGTTGCAATGAGCCGAGATTGTGCCACTGCACTCCAGCCTGGGGGATAGAGCAAGACTCGGTCTTTAAAAAAATTATGTGTGTGTGTGTGTGTGTGTGTGTGTGTGTATGTGTGTAGTGTGTATACACAATATATGTAGATATATGTATACACACATATGTATACACACATATATATATACACATATATAGAGAGAGAGTCTAAGACTAAAACATAGGTGGATATGAGGGCAAATATGTAGAAATGTTATATACAGTGAAAAAGTAGAAATACTGCAACTAAAAACATGGGAAATGAGGAGCTGAAGTCACACCACTGCACTCCAGTCTGGGTGACAGAGCAAGACTCCACCTCAAAAAAACATTTTTTTTCTTTGTAGATACGGGGGATCTTGCTATGTTACCCAGGCTGGTCTTGAACTCCCAGCCTCAAGTAATCCTCCTGTCTCAGCCTCCCAAAGTGCTGGGATTACAGGTGGGAGCCACTACCGTGCCTGGCCAATTTTTGCTGGTACCTTTAACTCTCACCTATTGACCATAGTATCAGCAATAGTCCAATTAGGAGAGAACCAGACAGTAATTTGAATAGAGAAGTTTAAAGAAATATTAACTGTAATAGGGGACAGAAGTAACACGAGATTAGCTAGCAAGAGGTGACAAGAGTGCTAAAGAACACAGAAATAATAGATATAGGGAACAGCCTTCAGCCCTAGGACTTTGGTGGAGCACCCAAGGAAGAGCCCCCTTCCTGCCCCGAGGTCTGGGATCCAGATCTGCGGAACAGGGTATGCCTGTGGCTCACAGGGCAGCAGAGAAGTCGGTGCCAGTGGAGATTGCTGGAAAACCTCCTCTTGGATGCCAGGGAAAACTGTTCCTTTTTTTTTTTTTTTTTTTTTGTAGATGGAGTCTTGCTTTGTCACCCAAGCTGGAGTGCAGTGGCGTGATCTCGGCTCACTGCAACCTCCACCTCCCGGGTTCAAGCAGTTCTCCTGCCTCAGCCTCCCAAGTAGCTGGGACTACAGGTGCCTGACACCATGCCCAGCTAATTTTTATATTTTTGGTAAAGGAGGTTTCACCATATTGGTCAGGCTGGTCTCGAACTCCTGACCTTGTGATCTGCCTACCTCGGCCTTCCAAAGAGCTGGGATTACAAGCATGA